CATATCAATTAGCACAGCAGGAATTGTTCACGTGTGGGTGTCCTTCAGGTAATACTAATACATTGCCAGACTGGCTGTCAGACTGTAGGACTACAGCCTCAGGGTCAAGTTACAGAAATCATATAGTATTTTCTATGAGCACCACATCACTGACTTATTATCTATTATCCATATTGCCTAAACAAGTACACCATTTTCACACAATATATATATATATATATACACACACACACACACACATACATACACCATACTAAGAGGAAAAGAAATACTTGTTGTGAATTGCAGCTATATAAATAAAATTTAATTGAACAGATAGTATGTTGATTAGTGGTTGTAATTAATACATTTGCTGAGTGACATATTAACGTCCACTGCTCACTTTTAAGGTCTGACATAACGTTACCATTCATGGTAACATTATAATTAGCACAGTTTCAGTTAGGAGCAGTGATACTTTTAGCTACTTAGTTATTAAGTCGGTCCTCTATTGTCTGCCAAGCTTTTTCTCGCTGTTTTAATACTGTGGCTGTGTTTCTTTCTTTCTTTTTTTTAATATTATGTGCATTTTTACATCATAAACCTTCTTTACACAAAGTGAGTAACAGCCACTAGCTTCTTTAATTATTCACCTTTGTAATAATTACCTTATTTATTTGTCCGTTATAATCTTCAACTTTATTTATTAATTACTTATTTTTTAAATGTATATGTGTTTTAATATTTTTGTCAGTGTTATTCTTCCGTTGCATTTTCTACCCTATTTATTTTCACCCATGGTATTTATTTCTGCCTGTCCTTTTTACATTTCTCTATGCATTTCTGCCTCATTATGCAAATGAGGAGGGGCTGTGTCTCAAGGGGTGAACTTCTCTCCTATTGTCTTCAAACAGAGTTGCTAAACACCTCAGCGCACTGAAGGAAGCCATCTGACTGTGTCAGGAGCAAGCTTGTTGATGTGTGCAGGTAGAGAAGGCCTAGAGCTCTCCCGTCTGACTGATCCACCAATAGGAGAGAAGTTCATCCCTTGAGACACAGTCCCTCCTCATTTGAATAATGAGGCAGAAATGTATAGAGAAATGTAAAAAGGACAGGCAGAAATAAATACCATGGGTGAAAATAAATAGGGTAGAAAATGCAACGGAAGAATAACACTGACAAAAATAATAAAACACACATAAATACATTTAAAAAAGAAGTAATAAATAAAGTTTAAGATTATAAGGGACAATAAATAAATAAGGAAATTATTACAAAGGTGAATAATTAAAGAAGCTAGATATATACATTTATATCTCCTTGTATAATTTAATTACTGCTGGCATTTATTTATTTACTTTTATTTTTTTGTGCATTTAATCAGATGCTTATTTATTTATTGAGCATTTATTTATTTCTGTATTTATTTCTGAATGTGTCAGGATCAGTCCTCCATAGGTTTGACCTTTGTGAAACTGATAATGCCAGGATGCACTGATCACACTAAGTCAAGCCTAGCTTTATCTCTTATCCTGGATTTCTAAATTCTGCTTTTGTGAAACAGCCCTCTGGTCGGCAACATGTAGCCTACAGCTGAATCGAAGCTGTTTACTGGCTTCTCACTGACCCGCCCTTCTCTGCTTCTGATTGGCTAGTACTCCTTAACTAGAAACTGCGCATGTGCAACTCCCAACAAAGATAATTTAGAGACAAGATGTATCACTCCATAGCAAAAACAAAGCGTTCAACACACGGGGTGAAAAAAGGAGCTGAAGCAATGTGCAGTATGAAAAAAAAGGGTGTTTTTTAAAAATCAAACCATGTAAACCTGTTCTGGTAAAACCCTAAACCCTAAATAAGATTTTGAACATGAAAATGAGCATAATACTAACTCTTTAAAAATAGTTTTGGCAGTGACATTGCCCCCGGGCACTCCTTACAGTTTTGACTTTAACACTGATGTGGAATATGGGTCTACAGACTCAGAAAAAGAACTAAACGATCAAGTTGAAGTGAATGTGACAGTGGACCAAAAAATGGAGACAGAGATGTTTCAGGCTCTGAAAATCCAGCCTAGTCTGCTGTTTTTGTTTAAGAATCAATCATGTTAAATGACATGCAAACCTAAAGAGAGCTTGAGGTTCTACATGCAGGCACAGCGACGGGTCCAGGGACAGGCATGGTGAGTTGTCCAGAGGTTGCAAGTATTCAGTAAGCATGCACCAGGGAGAAAGGAGGAGGTGGACACAGGAAGAATAAAGAATTTTCAAAAAACTTTTAATTTTCATTTTATATAAATTGTGACTGAGTCCTATGTGTTGTGAAGGGTCTTTTCTAGGTGGAGGAGTAAAATAGAACTTTTTTACATAATTTTTTAACACACAGTCTAAGGAGCACATTCATCCCCTCACAGGTCGAACAGTCTGGCCAGATGGGGCTGCTCCATTACTCTGGCTGGCTAGAGTGGACGTCACAAAGGCAGGCACACACACACATACATACAAGGCTTAACTCTGTAGAGTTAATGGAAATGCAATTTAATTAAATAAAAGTTTTAAATTAATATAGTGTGAGACTGTGGTCAGTCAGTCATGTCAGTATAAATGACATAAAATGAGTCTGCAATTGACGTTGAGAATACGTCCACAGCGTTTAAAAGACGTCTTTTAGAGGTATCTTTGCTCAGTGGGTTGGGCAGAGTAAACAGGGTTTCACTCACTCACCTGCCCGGTAGCCCACCCCAGAGACTGTGGGTGTCTCAGTGGACCACTCTCTTCTTCTGCTGAGGAGCTGGGAGGAGACACAGACTCCAACTGCTGTCCCAGAGTAAGCACACACTGTTCCGCTATTCTCAATGTGCCGGATCAGTGTGGTGGTAACATCACCATGTGTGCTGCCATCTCCTAGAATGGGGTCCTCCACCGCCACATTTGTCCTTACAACACGGCCCACATACTCACATTTTTAGGCAGACTACATGACATCACAGCTGAAAACCAAATGGATCAGATACTGATGAGATACATTATCATCTGGGAAGATGTATCTTTCCACCAATCTGCTCTGGTCCAAAACTGGTTTCATCAGAATCAGCATGGTGGTGGAAGGTTTATGACCTCCAGCCCTATATCACGATGCCCCTCATTCAAGCTATGAAGGATGCTGCGACCAAATGCATGCACCATCTGTGGATTCGGCAATCAAGACGATACCTCCCTCGCTGTCTGGCGAGAGAGGACATAGCCTGCGATGTGGACGAAGTGCTATGGCCAGATCCAGCCAGGCGAAGAGATAATTAGGTTTTGTTTTTGTACTGCACAGTACTGTACTTCATGCTTTCTTTTTTTGTTACCCCAATGGTTTTGCTGAAAAATACATATCAGTCTGCAGTATTGTGTGTGCTGTGACTGGTGAATATATCCAAAACTCTAACAATACTGTATTCCTGAAAAGTCAAATCCATACTATTTCATTTGAAAAGCAGACATTTAAACATTTAAATGTGCTTTAGATTGAGCATAGCAGTGTTTAAGTGGTTCAAACTGGAAGACAACGAGGGGCTTGTTGCAGATTGATAAGCGTTTTCAGTAACGTTAGCGAATAGCTTTACGCCCCTAGCCCGTCATGAAGAGTGAGCAGTGAGTGAACACTGCAGCCGGACTGGGACCAAACCCAACACAGCCTCCCAGACCGACAGATGCCAGTTTGACAACAGGGAATACAGGACCGAGGTGGCTTTCTTGCCAGGTTTGGCTCTTCGCACCCCGGGGATGACTCAGCTAATAGGGCAGCTACCAAGCTAACTAGCCACAGAATCAGACAGATCAGTTAGCGGTTTAGCAAAAAGTAAATGTATCTGTTCATCAATAAACTCTGTTTATCACCTCGGTACTATATTCCCTGTTGGTCTCTGCATTTGGTCTCGTTCATGCTGTGTTCTCTGGGAGGCTGCTGAGCCCAATTTTGTTGCCCGCTCGCTCAGCTCCGGTTCTGGTGACGTTATCCTGGCCTGAAAACCTCCCGTGCTTGAGAAGCGTTGTAACGTTAAACACAATTCACTCCCCAGGTGCGCCGAGCTCCCAGTCCGGGCTGAGTCAGCTATGACCACTAGGCTAACTGAGCTAATTATATAACAGCAACTAATTAGTCGAGTTTAGCGGATACTTTAGCAACAAATAGCACTTTTTGTTCACCAACAAACTCTGTAAATCACAGAGAGTTGAGGCAGAGCAGCCGGGGGACACGGGGAACATTAATATTAATTTTATGACGTTTAACAGTTTTAGTGTTGCCTTTGTAGACAGTGGAGGACGCAGGTATTTGAAAAGGCAGATTGTGGAGACATTTGCATTGAATGTCACAACAAAGTGATCTGATATGAGTAAGAATTGCATGATTTGCAGATCCATGATTTGCAGATCCATGATTTGCAAATTTGTTGGTCAAGCTCAAAGGAGAGATGTAGTTCAATTTGCCTGTGTAATACATTTTTGCTATTATTCCTTCAGCCTTTGTTTGAACTTGCATGCTTGTAATAAAAGGAAATGTACACACATATGGAGAGATGTCAGAGCGAGGGGGTTGCCACTCAGTGCGGAGCCATGAGCAGTGGGGGGTTCAGGGGTTTGCTAAAGGCCACCTTCGGTAGTGCCCAGGAGGTGAACCTCTCCAGCTGCCAGTCCATACTCCGTATCTCTGTTCTGAGGTGGACTCGAACGGGCAATTTTCCAGATTCCATCCAAGTCCTTATGGACTGAGCTACTGCCGCCCCAAAGTATTACTGACAATATTAATATTACAATTAACTGTTGTGAAGTTCAGGATTAAAACTTCCCAAACAAAACCATGATTTAGTGCTAAATGCGTATACAGAATTTATGTGTAGTCTCAACTGAGTATAATATTTACAGTACAGGTACAGTAAACACTTATTTTTAGCTTTTTGTCTGTTGCATCTTCCTCTTTTGTCTCACGGTATCATTTACATGTTATTTGTTTTTCAACTTCCTATGCAGCTCCTCGTTTTCAGCAGGTTCCTCACTTGCTTTGGTCCTGGTGTCACATCAGTTGTATTCTCTTCAGACAAATTCATTTCTACAGGGACTCAGAAACATGAAATGGTAGGCTATGTTTCTTGTTTTTGTCTTTAGGTCGAACCACCTAAATTTGCTATCAATATTGATGCTGATATTAGGCCTGTGGAATGTCTATTGATTATTTAATGAAGTGCATAGGAATTACTTGCATAAACATAATTGCTGTTGTAGTCCTAGTTAAGATCAATAAATGTGATTGGGTGATTGGGTTTGGACTTAATTATGTGACAGTCTGGAAGGCTTATATAGCATACTTTTTTCCTTACTTTTAACTTCACAGGATGACGTGGTGGCTACTCTGTTGGCTGTTCCAGTCTTTTGACATAAATCAAACTAAACCGGAACAAAGCATTGGCGAGTGTTGTGAGTCAAACCAGCAGTCCCCCAGGCCCAAACAAAGTCGTAAGTGGATATCAGCACAGAGTGGAAGATATTTTGTTACAAAACAGTAGGTTGATAAAAAAAAATATCTGCACATTTGGTGGTTTTGCAACAACAGGAACACCTGGAAGCCGATTGGCATGAAATCTGTAACACAGCCTCAGAGGTGCATGGGAAAGTACTGGCCCAAGTTTCATCAAAGAGACCCATGTGGAGATTTCACTTCCCGTTTAATTGTAAACCACAGGAAGTTGTTACTTTATAACATTTTTTGATTATCAAAATTATTTTAATATCTCTGGATCATGAGGTTAGGCTGATTCTATTTGCAAAGTATTGTGCAGATTGGTCTCTCTGTCTAGGAGGAGTTTGAAAAATATTATGTTTCACATTTTTTATGATTTTGTGAAGATGTAATAGGAATATACAAGATATGCAAAACCTTATTAACAGTTCATTTTTAATTTCTAACTGACAACAATCCAACAATGTAGCAACACAAAGGCGGCTGTTTACGGTCTGTTGTTTACGGTTCAACCTGCAGTATGACTTATACTTACGGAAGGATAAAAAGGGGAAAAAAAAATAATAATATGAATCTGACCGATTACAATAGGCTTCCCAGCATTCTGGTACTGGGATCCAAGCTGTTTGCATGTGTGGCCCCCAGCCCCCACGGGCTTGGACCCCTAATAAAAGGGTTGTATCAGTGTAAAAATCACAGTAGAAACTGTAATGTGTTAATAAGAAGAACAAAAGCTGAGATTCTTTACTAAATGTTTTTTGGTAATGTACTATTTGTGTATACATTGAATATCAATAAATCATTCAACACTAATGATGAATTGCAATTTCAGATGCCCAATTTTGTACGGTTGAAGTAAACAACATTTTCAATCAAAAACAGACTAAAAAAGGCTATCACAACAAGGGAAAAGACAATGACACTATCAGGTAAACATTTTAATTCTATATCAAATAATTAATTTGATTTTTATGTTCGTGGGAGCATCTATGTTTGTGTGTGAGTAATTCCACCTGAAACATGATAGTAAAAACAAGGACAATATAAAGAATTTGCTGAGGGTTGAGGTTGAAATCAAATTAAATTAAGGCATTCTGTGGTCCAGAATGAATGATAAGTTTTAAGGAAAATAACTGTTATTCAGTAACATGTATGTTTAAAATTGTGCTTTTCAATAAGAGCTGTGAAGTGCCTAGAACAAGTTCTAGAGGAAACAGAGGTGAATGAGACTGCGCTCATTTCTGCTGGCCATTTGGTGGCCCTCCTGCACAAACCCCAAAGACCCTTCAGAGGCCTCAACATACACGCTAGTAAGAGTAAGGTATGGATATATTTAATCTTAATTAGATTTTATAATCTGAATCACAATGACATTTGTAACTTGCTGGTAGATTTTTAGCCTCTCTAGCATCTTGGTTCTGGGGATGGCAATGTCCACCAATTTGGTCCAGTATGAAATCTTGATAATTACTGCATGGGTTCCTGTGACATTTTGTACAGACATTCATGCTTCCCAGATAATTCTTTGCAACAAATTAATGCATTTAAATGTTTATCCATTCTGCATGCCTATGAGGAATTTGTAGTAAAATGCCGGCTGCCAGGGCAACACTACCTACAAGAACTCTTCACCAGTTTGTTTTTTATAGTGTTGAGTATGTCTGAATTACCCATCCAAAAGGATGGCATTACATTATGTGTGTTTTTTTAATGGTAATTACTAGATCCCTCAAAGGAAAAATGCTCTTCTCTGCTTTGACCCTCCACAGGAACGTCAGTGTCAGCTGCAGAACATTACTCCAGATTGGTAGCGACTGATCTCAAAGTTATTTTAGCAAGCAGAATGTTCCAGCTCAGGCCTTCTGAATAAACATTAACCTGTGTTCAGTCAGCCTTGTTTGCAAATGTAAATTATTTCACTGTTGTTGATGTTAGATAGAAATCTAGCTGAGAGGATTGCATTATTCTGTTGCAGGTATTATTTACATGTAACACTTCTCTTGCTGTATTTGGCTCTGTTCCTCTGATATAGGCAATGTTAGACAAGACTTTCACCAACAGCACAGTGAGCGTTCAACTGCCGGGAGAGTTGAATGTTGGATGGAACAACACGATTGTGTTCTGCATGATTACCTCACCTGAAACTAATTGGGTCAGAGACTATACTTTTTTATGTAAAATTTGGGAAGAAAATAATCCAAAGCGCTATAATCCAAAAGAATATATATTCTTTGTGCACATTTAAATTGTAAACTTAAATTAAAAGACCACTCTTAGTTTTTCATGTTTTAGACCAATTAAGATTTTAGCCGACCCAGCCTGGGTCTTATTTTTAGTTAGTTTTATTTAGTTTACTTTTTGCCAGTGGTTATGAAACAATATTATTCACTAGCTTGATTACAGAGACTCTGTTCTGAGCTTTTATTGCCGTTTGGCCTCCCATTCAAAATTTTCTAGAAATGCTCCTGAGTCTGACCACTAGAATATAGCTTGTATAGCACTATACATTTAAAGTAATCAGATTATTTATTTATTTTAGGTGAAAACCAAAATGGTCATAGTGCTTTTCACAGCTATTCCTGACTTCGACCTGCAGTTTTTCCCTTGGTTGGGTGAATTCTGATAATTGGGTTGAACAGGTGTTTTTTAGAAAGATACCTGGTCTCATGCCTTAGACACATCTGTAATCAAGCTAGTGAGTAAAATGTTATCACAAAACATTATTTATACAATTATGCATTCTGGGCAGCCATTGGTTTCCATTCATTTCAGCTTTAATGTTAATATCAACTTGCAGAGACAGCGGGTAGTTCACAGTGAACATGTCCTTTTGTCTTTACAGGTATGAAACCAGAGAGGTCCAGTTTAGTATTTAGTAGCAGTTTTGCCATTTTAACTTTAAATTCCCATGCTTTGTTTTTTGTGGTTAAAGGAGAAATCCACCCTATTGCACTTTTATGAATGATTTTGTTATCAGAATAAAGCTTCTCTCTAATGGCTGCATTATTTAGTAAATGGAGTAGGTGTGCCTAATGAAGGAAGGGCCGGGTTAGTAAAAAGAGGAACACTTTGAAATACTTCAAATCTGGCTTCATAACCACTGGAGGACATTGTCAAGCTAAGAGAGAAACAAAGGGCAACGGTTCGTTCATTTCAAAATGCTGATAATATGAGCCACACTGTTATTAAATTTCATTATTTTAATTTAATTAAATTGTATTAAACAGGTTGATTTACTAAAACTTGTATACATTGCATTTCTGGGAACACCTTCTCTGTAATCTGCCTCACTGTCAGAAAGTGAAGTTTGTTCAAATGTTCAGCAGTCACACAGGCAGAACTCTTTCACAAAAGAGGAAGAGATTTCCATTTCTAAAAACATTTACTATTTACTAAAAACAATATCCTCAAATGCAGTTGGTGCAGCAAGGCTCTTCCCCCATTGCTTTCTGGGGTAACATGCTTTATAAGTTTATAACAGTTCTCAAGAAGGACAGAAATGTAAATAACTGATAACATTAAACAGTGTAACAGGATCTCTGGGTGGCTTTCTTCTTTAAACACTGTAAAGTTACTTCAGGATAGTGATCACATTTTACACAATAACTGTCTTGGGTAAACTGTCAAACTAATTGATTGACTGTATGTTGTACTGTAGACCACATGGGGAGCCTCAGATCTGTATGAGGGCAGACTGGTTGGACTGAGTGTGCGCGGCAAGAACATTACAGGACTACAGGAGCGCGTCAACATCACCATGACTCTTACTATGGGCATAAATGTAACTACATCTTTATTCCACAAATCATTTACCACTATTTTAAACTTGTATTATTTACCCGACAAAACTCAGGCAAAATCATAATACATATCATATAAACCTAATTTAATCCTGCTACATTGTTGTGTCGCAGGAGACCCAAAAACCCACTTGTGAGTTCTTCAATTTTACAATAAGAAGTGAGTAACTAGTCATCACATCTGTCACTATGTCTTTAAGATGATTAGTTGGGTTCAACAGTGAGTTGATGTAATTAAAAATTTACACAATAATTAGTGTAATGGATCTGTCTGTCTGTACGTCTGTTTGTTTGACTTACCAGACTTCAGCAGTAATGGCTGTCTTACCCTGTGGGAACGTGATGAAAGTCAAATCACCTGCTCCTGTGACCACCTCACATACTTTGGTGTGCTCCTGGTAAATGTATATTGAATTATAGAGACAATAACAACAAGAAAGTGATCAGTTTATTGAGAATATTCAGTAGAAGAGTTTCTGAAATGGTTGTGTGCTGCTTTGTTTAATATGTTAGCATCCATAAAGAAATAATAGGAAATGTTTATCGTAAAATACAGTACAATTATTATCAGCACTGAAGCTGTGAAGAGTGGAGCTAAATTTTAAACTACATTATATGAATTTGGTAACTTTAATTAACTATGCACCCTAATTGTTCATACGTGTATATTTTGTAAATCCTAATCTGCTTCACCAGTAATTATACAGTATTTAGTGTAGCAAATAAATACAATGAGGTAAAACCACAGCATTTCCTGTAAAATGTAATCTTTGTACCTTCTCCACAGGTAGATGCTATCCTCCCTCCTACTGACCTGAAGATTCTGACACTCATCACTCAGATTGGCTGTAGTCTTTCTCTTTTTGCCCTGGTCATCACTGTTCTGCTCTTCATCTCGAACAGGTAATTTATTCATTTACACGCTCCGGTATGCAGTACCGGCACCTCAACATTTTACTCTTTGGTGTACCGGGACATTTTCTTGCATTTTTGAAAGTTTTTGTTAAAAAAGTTCTGAAAAACAGCCACAAGAAATGGTAAATAACAAATGAAACAATGCACAATAAGAAAACATGCAATGCAATTGAAATATAGAAGAAACAAATGTGCATTGTCCAAAAACTGATTAAAGCCGATTACTGCAGTACCGGCACCTATTGTTTTCCACTTCAAGCACTGCTGGTGACATACGTACTAGGAACACTCACCACAGATCAGTTCTCCGCTGTCTGACAGAAAGATCAGAGCAGATGTCTCTATGAGGGTCCACATCAACCTCACCATTGCCCTGATTCTCCTCAACCTGCACTTCCTCCCAAGTCAGTCGGTGGCAGCACAGTCCTCCTCTGGGCTTTGCATTTACATGGCCCTTGCTCTTCACTATTCCCTGCTGGCCACTTTCAGCTGGATGGCCCTGGAAGGGTTCCACATCTACCTTCTCCTTGTCAGAGTCTTCAACATCTATGTCAGGAGATACTTGCTCAAACTCAGCTTGGTGGGATGGGGTGAGTAGAGTCGCCATGGCCATGGAACTACAAGTTGCTAGCATCAGTCATCAAACTTTGGAGTAATTGAACCCTTTAAGTTAAAGGTTCAGATATTTGATAAATCCTTGTGTTCCAGGTATCCCTGCAGTCATCGTGTCCCTGGTGGTGATCATAGACAGAGGCACGTATGGACGTGTCTTTCTGGACTTGTCTAACTCCAACAGCAATGCAATGTAAGGATGAAGCAGGAACACATTTGCAAACATCTATTTCAATTTCAATTCAGTTTCATTTTATTTATATAGCGCCAAATCACAACAACAGTTATCTCAAAGCGCTTTTCATAAAAGAGCAGGTCTAGACCATACTATGTGATGTAATTTACAGAAGCCCAACAATTCCCACCAAGAGCAAGCACTAGGCGACAGAGGCAAGGAACTTCCTTTTAAGAGGCAGAAACCTCGAGCAGAAACATGGCTCAGGGTGTGCGGCCATCTGCCTCGACCAGTTGGGGGTGAAGGAGGGAGAGAGAGAGAGAGAGCAAGAGAGAGGGCAAGAGAGGAACAGAGAGAAAGAGAGAGAGGGATGGAAGGAGAGAGAGGGGAGGGAGGCAGGGAATTGCAGTAATCCAGCCTAGAAGTAACAAATGCATGGACTAGTTTTTCTTCATCCTTTTTAGACAGGATATTACTGATTTTCGCATTATTACGTAGGTGAAAAAAGGCGGTCCTTGAAATTTGCTTAATGTGAGACTTAAAACAACATGTCCTGATAACTCCAAGATTCTTCACAGTGGTGCTGGAGGTCAGGGCGATGCCATCAAGGGAAACTATATCTTTAGATAATGCGTCACGGAGGTGCTTGGGCCACAGAATAATAACTTCAGTTTTATCTGAGTTTAACATTAGAAAATTACAGGTCATCCAGGTTTTAACATCCTGAAGGCACATTTGAAGTTTAGTTAACTGATTAGTTTAATCTGGCTTGATCGATAGATATAACTGAGTATCATCTGCATAACAATGAAAGTTTATGGAATATTTCCTGATAATATTGCCTAAAGGAAGCATATATAAAGTGAAGAGGAGTGGTCCACCAGGTTGATGGTTTAAATGAAGACATTATTGAAGTTAGTAGGTAAAGACTGAGGGAAGCAAAGCAGTCTAAACATATATCTGGTTTTACAGTTGTTTCTAAGGTTCCTGAGTTTAGAGATAAGTCGGTGCCAGTTGAGGCAGGTCATAGTGAATTTTGTTTCTAATAGTTAGAATTTTATAATTAAAGAAGCTCATGAAGTCGTAACTACTGAGAACTATGGGAATACTTGGCTCAATAGATCTGTGACTCTCTGTCAGCCTGGCTACAGTGCTGAAAAGAAACCTGGGGTTGTTCCTATTTTTCTCTATTAATGACGAGTAGTACGCTGCTCTGGCATTACGGAGGGCCTTCCTATAAGTTTTAAGACTATCTTGCGAAATTAAACGAGAATTTTCCAGTTTGGTGGAACGCCAATTCCTCTCAAGTTTCCGCGATATTTGCTTTAATTTGCGAGTTTCAGTATTATACCATGGAGCTAACCGTCTTTGTTTTATTATTTTCTTTTTTAGAGGGGCTACAGAGTCGAGTGTCATTCGCAGCGAGCCTGCAGCACTATCAACAAGATGATCGATTTGGGAGGGACTGAAATTAGCATAGGAGTCCTTTGTGACTTGATAATGAATATAGAGCTGATGGAATCGCATCCTTAAATTTAGCTACAGCACTATCAGACAGACGTCTTGTATAGAAATTATTGCCCAATGGCGTGTAGTTCAGCAATACAAACTCAAAAGTTATCAAACAGTGGTCGGACAAAGAGGGATTCTGTGGGAACACTATTAAATGTGTTCATTAAACACTCTGAGAGAAGCCAATGGAATCTAACAGAGAGATAAACGCAGAACTGAAGCTGTCATTCTCAACGTCCACATGAATATTAAAATCCCCTACAATAATAACTATGTCCGTTTTAAGAACTAAAGTTGACAAAAACTCTGCAAATTCAGATAAGAATTCAGATTACGGACCAGGTGCTCGGTACACTATAACGAAAAGAATTGGTTGCAGTGATTTCCAACTTGGGTGTGAAAGATTAAGAACAAGGCTTTCAAATGAGTTATAGTTTAGTTTAGGTTTAGAGCTGATTAGTAGGCTAGAGTCAAAGATAGCTGCAACTCCACCTCCTCTGCCTGTGCCTCGAGGAATGTGAGTATTAATATGACTGGGAGGGGTGGATTCATTTAGGCTAACATATTCTCCATCACCCAGCCAGGTTTCAGTAAGACAAAATAAATCAATATCATAATCTGATATTAGTTAATTTACTAGTACACCTTTAGAAGAGAGAGATCTAATGTTTAAGAGTCCATCTGCAATCTAGACTAATAATTAACTTAGTGCTTTTGCATGTGCATTAGAGTTTTTGTGTATTTGAAAGTTTTTGGAACTGGTACACAAACCCCACTCACAGTAATGACAGTTATCATAAAATATAAGAAGGAATATCTGGGATGTTCTGATATATTCGATTTTATAAGTTTTCATCTATTTCTGTTTTATAAGTTGATACACTGAATATCTTCCAGCTCTCGCAATACTTTTACTGTCTAAAGCTGAATTCCCATTTTGATAACCAAATTCATATTTGATTTTACAGAGAATGAGATTAAATCCTGATCTATACCACCTCTCTTTTTAGATGCTATATAGTCAATAACACAGTGAAGATGGTGACTACAGTGGGAGTGTTCTGCTTGGTGTTCGCCTTTAACATAATCATGTTAGGGGTGACAGTCCGACGTGTGGTGAGCTTCCGCCAGCGCAAAGAGGTTCGGATCCATGTGCACTCTCTGTATTCTACTCTTTTTTGTTTTTAAGTCTGGTGATATTCAACTGTATATACATATATAAAAATCCAACTCTATGTGTATGTGTATATATGTATGTATATGTGTGAATATGTATATATATGTGTGTGTGTCTGTGACCTACAACATGCTGTGACAAAAACTACAGTGGCCAGCTGTTTTAGAAATTTTCTTATTGTAAAGTTTAACTACATATCTGCAGCCCATTTGCCAATATTTGCGTCTTCCGTAGAAACAAATGGGCTTGAGTGCCATAGACATGGTAGGGAAGTGGGAAAGTATCGATAGACTGGCCGACTAACACGTTGTTTGTTTTGGTCCTTTCATTGGATTTGTTGACAATTAAATAATTGTATATTTACACTTGTATTTTTTTATCTTCGTCTGATATTTAAATGACTCCTGTCTGGTAAATGCGTTTAATATTTACTCATTCAAATCATAGCTGTGTCCTTTAAACGTAGAGTTTGTAGAGTAAGTAAAGTCTTATAAGGAACATATCCAAACTAAGATTGATGATGTCAAATTCGATAGAATTAGAGATGATCATCCATGCCTTCATATCCTCCCGTTCATGCATGAGTAATAAAGAACTCACTTGGCTCCAAGCTGTCCAGAACTCAGCTGCTAGACTCTTAACACATACAAGCAGAAGAGCGCACATTACTCCAGTCCTAGCCTCCCTTCACTGGCTGCCACTTCATTTTAGAATTCATTTTAAAATGTTGGTCCTTACTTTTAGAGCGTTACATGGTCAAACTCCCTCTTACATCTCCAACCTGTTACAGCAACATACTCCCCCCCATAACCTAAGGTCATTAGATCAGAGGCTGTTGGTAGTACCCCGTACCCACTTTAAGGCCAGAGGAGACCGGTCTTTCCAAGCAGCTGCACCCAGGTTGTGGAATGCACTCCCCAGTTCGTTACGCACCTGTGTTGTTTCTTTGAAAAAGCAGCTGAAGACTCTGTTATTCAAACAGGCGTTTGCTAAACATTAAGCTTGGTTTTAAAGTTGTCTGTCATATGTCAATGTGTTTCTGGTGTTTAGCTAGAACTGTATTTTGTTGTTTTATTTTGAAGCACCTTGTGATTTTATCTGTGAAAAGTGCTATATAAATAAATTTTACTTACTTACTTTTACTTATAGAAGGCACTAGAAATGATGACAACATATTGTGTAAGACTCCTGAGAGAACCATTTTAAACAAATTGAAGAAGATAAATCTGCTGCAACTCAGGAGCTGTTTTCAAGACTACAGTGTTGTCCTCAAAAGCAGTTTTGGAGTTTGCTGACTACCTACATTTCATTATTTCTAACTGTTGTGATTGTCTATGACCTGCTACTGTGTTGTTTTACATCTTTTGCAAGTCAGTTTGGGCAGAGTGACAGTGACAGAGCCAAGCGGGACATCTGTACCCTGCTGGGAGTCACCATTCTGCTTGGCATTACCTGGGGCCTGGTCTTCTTCTCATTTGGCTACCTGACCATTCCTGGCCTCTACGTCTTCTGCATCCTGAACTCACTGCAAGGTCTGCACAACCTCCACATTTTCAGCTCTATCCTGCAGTGATGTTACTGTAAATATGACGGGAAGGGTTGTGTATTTTTATATAGATATAAATACACTCACCAGACACTTTATTACATACACCTGTTCAATTGCTTGCTAACAAATAGCTAATCAGCCAATCACAGGGCAGCAACTCAAAGCATTTAGACAAGTAGACGTGGTCAAGACAACTTATATATAATATATATAAACAATAAGCCTCAGTTAAGCTGTGAATGTGCACACACGCACACACACACACACAACTCGACGATCAGTCGACTATAGGCCAGACTTGACAATTCTGATTCAACTTTGTAAATTCTTTGTCTGGGACTCCCCTAATACAGACACATCTCATAAAAATTAAGGAAAAACTTAAATTACGCATCAGATCTCGATGAACGAAATAGTTCTAAGTTTTGCCTTTCTTTCACCTGTTGCATGTGCTCAGTGTGAACCTGCTCTCATCTGTGAATAAAATATGGTGCCAATGGTCACACTGTCAATTCTGGTGTTCTCTGGCGAATGCCAATGAAGCTGCACGGTGAGCACAGATCCCACTAGAGGACTTTGGGCCCCCATGCCACCTTCATGGAGTCTGTTTCTAGTTTGGACAGAAACATGCACACCAGTAGCACCAGTGGAGGTAAATTTATAGGACTCTGGCAGTGCTCCTCCTGTGCCTCCTTGCACAAAGAAGCAGATACTGGTCCTGCAACTGGGTTGATGCCACTTTATGGAACTGTCCTGTCTTTGTTGTGTAACAGCCAGTGTCCTGGTATCTCCTCCATGCTCTTGAGACAAAGCAAACCTTCTTGCGATGGCACATATGGACGTGCGATCCTGGAGAAGCCAGACTACCTGTGCAAACTGAATGGGCTGCAGGTATTGCTTCATGGTACCAATAGTGACAAAGATACCAGCAAAAAACAAAACTAGAGAACAATCAATCAGGAAGAATGAGGAGAGAGCCATTGTCTGTGGCCACCACCTGCAAAACCATTCTCTTTTTGGGGGTTGTCTTGTTGTTTCCTTTCCAGTGCAGCTGTTGTCACTTTTATGTGCACCAAATCAAGTGACACTGATTCACACTTGCTTATGCTATTTATTGGACCTATTGATATCTGTGAAGATTCACTGACATGATGTTTTACTGTGATGATTAAGTGTTCCCTTATTTTTTCAGTATCAGTTTTATTTGCCAGGTATGTGTACACATGCGAGGAATTTGACTTTGAATTGTACATATCTCACACTGTGCTTACTCATACAATAATAATACAATAACACAATAATAAAATCACACACAGGCTACAATATAGAGAACACAAATATACACAATATAAACAGAAACAAAAACAATATAGACATATTGACAAATATTGCAGTGAGCAGAGTGCAAAGGATGCAGGAGTAAATTATTATTATCATTAATTATGTACATGTCAGAGGTGGATGTGATATGCAGGTATACATACACATGTATGCATACATGTACACATGTACACAGTGCGATGGAGCATATTGCAAGGATGCTGGAATAAATAAGTAAGTGTTTGAGGTAGGTGGGTGCACAGGAATTGTTCCTGACACTGAGTCAGAAGTCAGCTGTACATCAGAGCGATGGCTTGTTGGAAGAAACTGTTCCTGAGTCGGTTGGTTTTGGCGTACAGTGCTCTGTAGCGCCTACCAGAAGGGAGAAGCTGGAACAGGTTGTGTGAGGGGTGAGATGGATCTGCAGTGATGTTTCCTGCCCTGTTTCCTGCCCGTTTCCTGACTCCGGAAATGTATAAGTCCTGAATGGAGGGCAGGTTGGCACTGATGATCTTTTCTGCAGTCCTGACTGTCCATTGTAGTCTGCTCCTGTCCTTTGTAGTGGCAGATCCAAACTAGACAGTGATGGACATTGGTTGTGTAAACTGGATTAGCAGCTCCTTACGCAGGTTGAGCCTCCTGAGCTGGCGCAGGAAGTACATCCACTGCTGGGCCCTCTTGATGATGGTGTCAGTGTTGAGCTCCCACTTTGGGTCCTGGGATATAGTGGAACCAAGAAACCTGAAGGTTCTCACAGCAGACACAGGGCTGTTGGGGGGCAGTGTGGGGTGGCTCCTCTTGAAGTCCTTGATCATCTCCACAGTTTTGAGCATGTGTAGCTCCAGGTTGTTCTGATACAGATTTTGAGCAATGTATAGGCCTACATACTGTATATAAATGAATGGGGAACTTCATGGGCATTGGTTGCATATTTCAGCTTTGCAAAGTTACTTGTCTTGATGTGGAGAAATGTATCAGGGTACGGTCAGGATGGGGCACAATGGCGTGTAACTACTGAAAGCAGTAATAAACTATAAGCAACTTCCATCATCCAGAATAAATGGTGCATAATACATACTTTTTTGTTCAGTGTTGGCCTAACATATCATTTATCAGTGGCATTTGCATGATTAACATGATCCCAGTTTTCTGTACTCTCTCTAACACTCTTCCTGTGTCTTTCTCTGCTTTGACTCAGGTTTCTTCATCTTCCTGTGGTTTTTGATGTCTTTGAGAAAGACTGGAAACTCTGTAAAGACGAGTAGAGAAACACCTAGCACCAACAGCTAAGTCTTGTATCTGTGTATGTTGGGATGATTTATTATTGGATTTATTATATGGATTTGTTGACAATAAAATAATGTCAATTATCACTTGTATCTTTGTCTGATATTTAAAGGATTTGTCTGGTAAATTTTGTTTAATATTTACTCATTCAAGTCATAGTTGCGTCCTTCACGTGTAGAGTTTGTAAGTGACATCTTATATAAAGCACATAAAGTAAGACTCCTGAGAACACAATTTTCAACTTATTGAAGAAGATAAATCTACTGCCACTCAGGAGCTGTTTTCAATAAATTTCAATTTAAAGACCTTAATTTATACGTTAGGAACTTCATTCGTGCTGAGCCTCAGCATCAGTGGGTGTACGGTTCCACAAACACAGTGCAATGTAGCACACACACACTCACACACATTACTTAGAAGTATTAAACAGTTTTATGTAAATAAGTAAAGCTTTCAAAGTACAATAAATACATGATAAATAGGCAGTAAATATTAAAAAGATTGAGTTAAAATAGAGAAATAAAGAAATAAAATAAATCACAATCCTCACACACACGGACATACACATAGATGAATAAGTTAATCAACCATTCATGTTTCTAATGGACGTAGGCACAAAACTGGTCATAGCTGTGAGTGATCTGTATCTCTGGCCTGAGGGTAGAAGACTGTAGTGGCTTTGCAGTGTGTGAGTGGTGTCTGAGGCTATTTGTTTGTCTTATTCCTTTTAGTTTAGTCCTCCTGTTGTAAATACTGACAGGGGGTTCCTGCAAATGTCCGATTATTTTACTGCTCATTGTTGTGATTTTGTTTAGTGTGTTGCGATGCATGTTTGATAGTGATCCAAACCACACTGATATATTGAAGGTCATTACAGATTCAATGAAGCATTTTTAAAAAGCCATCAGGACTGACTGGTGAACTTGAAGTCTGCAGAGCTTCCTCAAGAAAAAGAGGCGCTGCTGACAATTGGAGAAAATGTTTTCACTGTTTGGTTGGAAGGTATGTTTGTGATCAATTATTGTCTCAAGGTATCTATATGATTCAGCCATTTCTATTGGCTGGTTGTTAACTAACAGAGTTCGGATGATGGAAACTTACTTATTAATCTTTGCGAAGTCAACAGTTCCTTTGATTTAGAGGGGTTGAGGTCAAGACAGTTCTGCTTGCACCACTCCGCTTGGAGCTTTTTTTTATCCCATCAGATGAGGTTGCACTGTGTTAAAAGCACTAGATAAATCCACAGACTAGTCTAATGAATGACCTGGGCTTTTAACGGTTGGAATTAATGCCATGTAGCAATGTTAGTACGCCCCCCAAAAGAGAATAAGCCTTTCATTACCAGAGATATTAATGCCACAGGCCGGTAGTCATTGGCGGGATTGCTCTTTTTGGCTCATCGACAGATGATTTGTGATTTCCAGGTTGATGGGATTGAATATTCTGACAGGGAGCGGTTGAACAGATAACAGAAAACACCTGCCAGCTGGCTGCAACAGGCCTTCAGCAACCGGACACAGATCTGATCAGGTCCTGGTGCTTTGTTTAGTTTCATCATCTTCAACATGAGTTCCACCTCCTCCTGCTGCAGCTCCAGATTTGCTTGGGCAGGTATCACAGGAGTGAGCTCAGGTATTAGCTCCTTCTTCTCTTGTGAAAAATCAGACTGATCAAACCTGGAGTAGAACCATATAGAATTGATTGAGGTCCTCTGCCATGTTGACAGAGTCTATTTTCCCGGATGATGCTGAGCTGTTACTGCGGAGGCCAGCCAGTGTTTTAACTCCTCGCCAGGCATCTCTAGCTTTGCCTTCCCGAAAGAGTTTCTCAGTGCTTTCCTTGTATCCTTTCTTTGCTGTTTTTATTTCCTTATTCAGTCTGTTTTGAATGAGTTTGGACTGAATTCTGTTTCCTGAGTTGAATGCTATTTTCTTTTCATTCATAGGTGTTTTTCCAGGGTTTATTGTTAGAGAATACTTTCACAGTTTTTTGCGGGAAAATCATATCCTCACAGAAGGTGACATAATGGGTAACAACTTCAGTGGTTTCCTCAAGGCTGCTCCCCTGAGGCCCTATCCACACTACTCCATTTTAGTTTACGGAAAATTAAAACAAACACTATCTCCGTCTACAGTAGCGTTTTAACTTTTAGAATTGATCTCCGTCTACATTAAAATGACTAAAAAGCTTTTGCCCGTTCAGGAACACTGGTCATGTGTGTGCTGGTGTAAACATGAAGCAGACGGGCTCTTCCGTATTTGCAGAAGATTTGGCGAAAGAATAAAGAAATGCAGATGAAGAATCAGACCACATTTTTTTTGTATGCACCAATAACGAGCTGGGACTGTCACTGAATGTAATACGGGACTGTGGCAGCGGAAAACAGACTGGAGGTCTTTGCAAAGTAAAAGCGGCGACATGCACAGTAGCCTACAAGTGTTATTTGCACGGTACAGAATATTTTAATAAAAATAGCAACTCAGAAACTCTGTTAGTAGCATTGTGTTTCTGCTTTGCAGGACTTATTAGACCCAATCAGAGAGCCGATCGTGAGCGTCTGCGTCATCATTTCTAAAGTCCTCTGTTTTGGCCCGTCTTCACTAAAACGCCCTCTGGATTTTCGGCAGCGTTTCCAAACTTCTCTGTTTTAGGTCTTTGTTTTTGCCATTTTAGCCTGGACAGGATTCATCGTTAACATGTACAAACTGAAATCGATCTGATAAATAGGACTTAAACCAGCTTAGAGCGGTTCCTTTAATGCCAATGAAATGTTCCAGTCTCTGTAATAGGATCTGATGGTCAATGGTATCAAAAGCAGCACTAAGATCTAATAAAACCAGTACAGAGACAAGTCCTTTGTCTGATGCAATTAGGAGGTCGTTAGTAATTTTCACCAGTACTGTCTCTGTGCTATGATGAGCTCTAAATCCTGACTGAAAATCCTCAAAAACAAAAACAAACAAAACCATGATTTACTACTGAATGTGTCTACATTGGCCAAACTCGAGCCTTCAAAATGGCATTCCACAAACCAACGGGTGACGTCACTATGACTATGTCCACTTCTTATTTACAATCTATGGGTTAAGGTCGTAACTTTATATAGCTGGCCAAGGAACTGTCTGTTTAATATGTGCATGTATCAAATCTGTCCTTCAGTATCACACTTTGTACTTCAGCACAATAAAAAAGTTTCATGTTATACCACTATGTCACCCGTTATGCTGAATAAAAGCTTGCTTTTTGCATTGTTTGCCCACATTTTCACTAGTTTACAAAATTTAATCAGGCAATTCATCTTTACTTGTTGTATGAATACTGAATATCACCATAAATAAACTATTTAATGATATTTTAAAGAGGTGGTATTACGCTCATTTTCAAGTTCAAAATCTTATTTAAGGGTTGTACCAGAACTGGTTTACATGGTTTAATTTTCAAAAAACACCATAGTTTTTGTCATACTGCACATTGCTGCAGCTCCTCTTTTCACCCTGTGTGTTGAAGGCTTCGTTTTAGCTATTGAGTGATACATCTTGTCTCTACATGATCTTTGTTGGGAGTTGTACATGCGCAGTTCCTAGTTAAGGACTACTAGGCAATCAGAAGCAGAGAAGGGCGGGTCAGTGAGAAGCCGGTAAACGTGGCTTCGGTTCAGCTGTAGGCTACATGTTGCCGACCAGCTTGGTAACATAGACTGGATCAAGAGTTTCAGAGTGGTGAGTTATTAATCTGTAACAAATGTATCTTTCATCCATAAAGTTTTAACTGAGCTCTGTCTCTACATCACAGTAACAACTTAATGTCCATTGACTGCGTGGAGGGTAGCTAGTGTTTGGAAGGGGGAGGAAGTGTGTGCTGCAGCTCAGTGTTTTTCCTCTAGTGTTTTTGAGGGCCTGTCAGACTAGCTGCTTGGCAAGCGTTATGAGGCGCATTTGAGGCGCAGCGAAACGGCTGGACTACAAACGAGCTGTTTTCGGGCAGTTCACAGCAGTGTTTTCTGTGGGAGATAGGAACTCCCCTTGGGGTGGACTTCTGGCTTTTTCACTTTGCAAACCTGTTACATGCACAAAAAAGATATATAACTCAATAAAGGAGAGAGAAAAGGCCAAAAAGCATAATACCTCTTTAAGGTATTTCAAGGCATATTATCTTTATACTGTAGATGTCAATGTCTAATAAGGAGAAGGCTGCACTGACAGAAAAAAACAACAACTCCGATCCAGTTGCTAGGGAAGTATTGTTTTTTAATGTTTTCATGCTGTAGTTACACTATTATACTATAGTTAAGTATAGTATAGTTATAGTTTTATTGCACTGCAGTTGAGGTATAACTGATGGATTATATTAGTTAATATTACACACATACAATTATGGATTAAAATGGATTATGAATAATATTAGTTAACAGCTACTTCACATTTGGAGACTCCAGTATGGCGAGTTCATCTAGACAGCACATTTTTAACATCTTATCCAGTTGTTTTTTGTAGTTGTTGTTTTTTTTATGTTTTTTTTTTTTTTTTTTTTTTACAGTTTTATAGGTTTTAATAGCTAAAATATTAAAAATAAAAAATACTACTAAAATACTATAGCTGCTACTAATAATAGTTAATTGGATCAGCATTGTTATAGCCAAAGGAATCAAATTTAATCAATATTTGTGGGCCATAGATACGTGTCATTCAGGGTAACAAAATATTGTCATACAGTGTAACACCAGTATTTTATATTAAAATACAATAACTTTGCTTTATTAACTCTGAGAGATAAATATGAATCTCTTTTAATTAGATTTTTGCATTTCCTTCAGTGTAAGACAGAAAATTGTTTTGAAAAACTACTAAATTTGAGGGGGGTTTTTGTTTTGTTTTTATTTAGTAGCACAAAAGAGAAATAAAAATATATAAAAAATACACTGTATGAATTATGCATAAGAGGTAAGAAACCCCCCAAAGGGCTTAACATACACAACACACATACTTAAATTGTATTTTTTCATGTTTGACTGACAATGATGGACAAGCTATTATAGAAAGGGGAATAATATTCCAAAGTGATGGTTCTCTGTATTTTATGAAATATTGTCCAAAAGTTGTATGATAATAAGGGAGATGAACATTCTTTGCTTGAATGGACATTAGAGTTAGTTAAAACGTTACGTAATCAGGATACAAAAAAAAGTTACTGTATTCCGTCACAGTACAAAAAGTAAAGATGTAATTGGATTACAGGTACATTTTGAAAAATCGGGAATTAAGCCTACTCATAGGGATTACTTTAAGCAGAAAGTTTCCATGAAACAGAAAACGCAGTGCTATTTGCCTCCTTATAGATGGTATACTGTATGTACGTGTTTCTGTAAAAATACAACAAAACCGGGGAGGGACGTATCGCAAGTAGTGATTGGTGTTTACAGTCGCCAGTAGTGCTAAATGTGTGTTTACTGTTTTTACTGTGTTTAACCAACCAAGCTAACCAGCCAAAGATACAGGCAGATAGGCTACAGTGAGCGTTTCAGCAAAAAGTAAAGCTAACTATATACATCAAGAAGTTCTGTGTAAATCATCTCAGTTCTGGATTTCCTGTGTGTCTTTGAGTCTGTTCGTGTTCATGCCCTGCTGATTCCCAGTGAACAGGGAAGCTGTGGAGCGAGGTTTGATGGTGTTGCCCGTTCACCATCAGACGCTACACCCCTCAATCATTCCCTGGTGGGTCCCCCTGCCCTTGGCCTGAAAACCTCACGTTTTTGAGTAAAGGTGTAAACACCTTTATAAAGTAGGGTGACTAGATGTCCTCATTTTCTGTATGGAGCTGTCCCTGGAAATGTCCCTGTGTGTAACTGTGTTAATCATAGACTGCATAAGGTGTTAACAGACCTGAAATCAGATTTTACGTGGCCAGAAACACTGGAGAGCAGAGCAGACAGGTGTCAAACTGATTGCCTTCTGCGGGAGAGTGTAATGTATGTAATGTTATCGCCCAGTCTCTTTACAACTACAGCTGCTTTTATCTGGATCAAACAGACATAACGTGCAAGTAAACATCACCTTATGTCCGTGGTAATAGCAAAGGTATGTCTTAACAGAATAATCACAATTGTAGCCAAATAAAAGTTTGCAGTTTTTAGTGTTACCAGGCATGGCATTAACGTGATTATAGCAAATTATAGAAGCCTGTTGTTGCCGATGGATTATGTGTTTGCTAGACCTATGTCTAATATCCTTGTTTATATTTGGAAAATGGAATGAAGCCTGTAACTAACATGACTTACTGCTGAGTTATATATAAATAAAGACATGATCTCTTTTGCAATCATCCTTATGACTCTACATTATTTAACTTGCTGTGTACCAACCAATCCAGTCCTTTTTACCTGTTGAAATACCTTTAAATGGCCAATACAACCCATAACATACAATATTCCACTGCCAGAAAGTGATTGCAGCTTCTACTTACTGACTGAAAGGTAGATTCTGCCTCAAAATGACTTCATTTCATTCAGAAGGGTTATATTTGACAGATTATAAAACCGAAATTGTCCCCCCTTTTATTTCATATATAATAAAATTATATTTTTTAATGACAAATTGACCACCAAACCAAAAATGTCCCTGGTTTTAATTTCAGAAATCTGGTCACCTTATTATACAGTCTATGGTAAACACTAACACACCTCCAGTGCTCTGAGCTCTTAGTAGGGGCAGAGCTAATCTGACCAGTGGTTGCACAGCTAACTGAGCTACTAACAGCAGCTAGTTAGCTGTTAACTAGGCCTAACTTCAGCAACAAGTAAAGCTGTCTGTGCATCAGGAAACTCTGTAATTCACAGAGTTGAGGTAGAGCAGCCGGGGGACATCAGAAAGAATATATTTTCTCCATATACACATGCTTCAGCAGCTCATTTTGAGAACTCTTTTCATTGGACGCTAAATGAATACAACAAGTGCAAAATGAGTCATCAAGATCTTAAAATTATTTTTCACATTTTCTTAAATGTCATCAAGAAAACAATGTTTTTTGTCATTGATGGCTGAGATACTGCCATAGTGGTGACATAGTGAAAACCATATCATATAAAAACATTTAAACATGGATTTTGGGAATGGGAGATTTTGTTATTCCATGTTTCTCTAAATATACACTGAGCAGAAAACACATCATTGATACTTCACTTTTGCCTATTTGCATTGAAGTAATCCAAAAGTAACTAAAAGTAATCAGATTATATTACTTTTATTTTGTGGTACTTGGATTATATTACTGATTACATTTTTAAATAAGTAATTAGTCATTGTACCGGATTACATTTTGAAAGTAACCCTCCCAACCCAAGGTTGACTATAATGTCAAACACTTCTCTAGATGTAGGGGGATCAAAATTACACAATGTGGGGAAGCAACCAATAATTGAATCAACTGGACATCATCTGTACAAACTATTTTTTCAGCAAGATTTCTAACATTGGCAAAGAAGTTGTTAAAGCCATTCGCTATATGAGAAGGGTTGGTAAGAGAAATACTATCATTAAGAAAATTAGATGATATTCATTGATGATGTTCCACATGGATTTTATGTTGCTAAGAGGCTCTTATATAAATTACTTATATATATATATATATATATATATATAAATAGTAATTTTTAACCAGGCACTTTACTAATTTCCACCTTGTCGCCGTTGGTGCTCCTTCTCCCGAAAATTAATTCCAGAGTTCTGACTACAGAAAAGCTGATGATAATAATGATAATACATTTTTTGTTACATTGGAAACTCTAAATGTCAGTTAGTTTTAGCTTTCTGTCTGTTGCTTCCTCTTTTTATCTTACGGCATCATTTACATGTTTTTCAACTTCCTATGCAGCTCCTTGTTTTCAGCAGGTTCCTCACTTGCTTTGGTCCTGGTGTCACATCAGCTGTATTCTCTTCAGACAAATTCATTTCTACAGGGACTGAGCAACATGAAAAGGTAGGCTATGTTTTGATTGTTTTTAGGTCAGAACCACCTAATTTTGCTATCAATATTGATGCTGATATTAGGCCTGTGGAATGTCTATTTATTATTTAACCAAATGTATGGAAATGTCACAGTCCTGGTCTCAGTCGGTGTTCTTATCTTAGTTCTTGTGTAGTCAGGCTTCTGTGTCAGTTCTTTGTCTTGGTTCTTAGATGTGTTTAGTAGTTTCTTACCGTTTTGAGTCACATGTATTCTGTGTTTTGTTTTACTCACCTTGGTCCGTTGGTGGTTGTTCTGGTTTATGTCCACTAGTTGGCCTGTCTTGTCTTGTGTCGTTCCCTGCATGTTCCCTCCCTCTTCCTGTGGACATTTGGATTTCCGTCTATGGATTTAGTTTTGTGTTTTCTGACTTTCCCTGTTTGGACTTTGTTTTACACATTTGGATTGTCAGTTTGGATTACTTGTTTTATTTGGACTTGTTTGAACTCTGCCACTCCCAGTAGTGTAGAAGTTTTTTGTTAATAAACCTCTAGAACTGTTTCTGCTCTGCTCCTGTATCTTACGTTTGGGTCCTCAACCCGTGCACACTCTGTAAACCCTGACATGAAATTACTTGTTATACATTTTTGTACAAGCTGTACACTCAAAAAGTTGTCACATGAAAAGATATAATCAAATATTTACAAAAAAGTGAGTGGTGTACTCACGTTTGTGAGATAATGTATGTAGCATACTTTTTTCATTACTTTTAACTTCACAGGATGACGTGGTGGCTACGCTGTTTGCTGGTCCAGTCTTTGGTGTCTCCTTTTATCACAAATAACACAAACAGTACTGAACTTACACGCAGGCATTTTGATACAACCCCAGCGGTGCAAGACAAGACCGACGTGCGGAGGTGTTGCAAGTCAGACCAGATGTCCAACGGGCACGGCCAAAATCGTAAGTGGATAGCAGCACAGAGACTGGAAAATGTTAAAAACAGTAGGTTGACAAAATAATATCAGCAACAACAGTAACACCAAGAAGCCGATTGGCATTAAATTTCATGTCCAAGTTTCATGTTAATCAAAGAGACCCATGTGGAGATTTGACATCACTTCCTGTTTAATTGCAAACTACAAGAAGTTCTTACTTTATAACATTTTTTGGATTATCAAAATTATTCTAATAACTTTTGACCATGACTTGATTTTTACAGCATCCCCTTGAGGTCAGAGAGTGTAAGTATATGTACCTGACTAGTGGGTGAAATTTTCCAAGATTAATGCTGCACAAACACTTTTTAGCAAAGAAAACTAAGAAAGTGTTCAATAGGAAAACTTTGACTTCCTATGATCTCAACACCCCCATCGTTGACAAGTCGGACTTGGTGACCCGGGGATATGAACCCTGAAACTTCAGATCCCTAGAGTAGGTGACTTAGTGACTGAGCTACTGGTAAAAGGCTGTTTCCTCACACTTTCTCGTAAGTTGAGGCAGTGACATCACGTGCCAGATATTTTAGTCAGTTTAAACTTAAAACGCTTGCAACAGTCAAAATGGTGTTAGTAAAATTATTCAAGTCAATTATTTTGGTAGAATTTGATCCAACGCTGAGGAAAAAAGAAAATGTTGTGCATACTGTACTGCAAGTTATGGCAAGATACTGAATACCACTGCAGACTCACCGTTTGACCGATCTGAAAACCCTTTGAAACACTGGATATCAGATGTCTAGAGAATGTCTGTGTTGATTTTGGTAGTGTATGGAGAAAGACTTGTGGAGATATAGATGTTAACTGAATTAACATAAAACATACATAAAAATATACAGTGTCTGACTTCGGAACTGACCATAGGTTGCAGTGAGGCAAACATTAGTCACAAATCAGTGGATGTGCTGAAAAAGTATAGCTCTCTAGGACGTACGGTTGGTTTTGATTAGATTTTTCAAACTTTGGAATGAGAAATGCCTAGAAATTTACATTTTCTGTAATGAACCATACCCACTTTCAGCAATCATTAGCAAATTTTATGCATCAACTGATGATCGTACAAACTGAATTTTATACAAATCCAAATGGCAAATTAAGAGGTATAAACATTTTGCATGGTGCCCCCTAGTGGAAGAATATCCCAGGACTGCTCAGCGAAGGTCGGACCGATCATCTGAATGGATACTTCAACTTTGTTTACAATAGTTAATGAATTTGATTTATAAGCATTTATTTAAAATTGTACATAATGATACAAAAGTGACATTTATGAAAAAAATAACGGATTGACAAATCAAAATTATTTGAATAACTTTTAATCAGTGACGTTGATATATGATCCTGCCAAAGTTTCAGGTCAATTGGCCAAGCGGTGTAGGGCGAGTTCGCAAAAATAGGTTTTTGAGAAGAAGTTGGACTCTAAACAAAGCTGTTTGTTGATTGTTATAGCACCGCAATATAAGTGCTGTTTTCATCCAGCAGTTTTTGCTGCAGAAACACTTTTAGTGGAGAAAAAGAAGAAAAAAGAAAGAAAGAAGAAGAAGAATGAGAACAAAAACAATAGGGTTCCAGCCGCTTCGCTGCTTAGATTCCACAAAATCTGACCAATTACAACAGGCATTTACAATTACCCCTAATAAAAGGGTCAAGCCAGTGCCAGAATCACAGTAGAAACTGTAATATGTTAATGAGAAGAACAAATGGTGAGATCCTTTACTAAATGTTTTTTTGTTTATGTGCTATGTACTTGTGTATATATTGAATATCAACAAATCATTCATCATTAATGATGAATTGCATGTTACAGATTCCAGATGTTGTATGGATGAGGTCAACAACATTTTCAACAATCAAAAAGATAAAGATAAAGACACTATCGGGTAAACATTTTAATTCAATGTCAAATTATTAATTATAAATGACTGATAACTGCTGGGACTTTTATGTTTAGCATGTAGCATATTAGCATCTGTGTTTGTGTAATTCGACATATCATAGTGAAAACTAGGGCACTATGAAGAATTTGCTGAGGGCGGAGGTTGAAATCAGATTTAAGGTTAATTCATTCTGTGGTCCAGAATAAATAATAGGTTCTTAGGAAAACAATTGTTAATCAGTATAATGCATGGTTTAATTTGTGCTTTTCCACAAGAGCCGTGAAACGCTTACAACAAGTTCTAGAGGAAACAGAGGTGAATGAGACTACGTCCATTTCTGCCAGCCATTTTGTGGCCCTCCTGCACAAACCCCAGAGACCCTTCAGAGGCCTCAACATATATGCTAGTGAGAGTAAGGTATGGATATATTTAATCTGAATTAGAGTTTATAGTCACAATAACATTTGTTACTTGCTGGTAGATTTCTATCCTTTCTAGCATCTTGGTTGTATTGATGGCTGCAATGTCCAGAATGACTGTGTTGAGTATGTCTGAATTACCCATCCAAAAGGATGGCATTACATTATGTGTGTTTTTTAATGGTAATTACTAGATCCCTCAAAGGAAAAATGCTCTTCTCTGCTTTGACCCTCCACAGGAACGTCAGTGTCAGCTGCAGAACATTACTCCAGATTGGTAGCGACTGATCTCAAAGTTATTTTAGCAAGCAGAATGTTCCAGCTCAGGCCTTCTGAATAAACATTAACCTGTGTTCAGTCAGCCTTGTTTGCAAATGTAAATTATTTCACTGTTGTTGATGTTAGATAGAAATCTAGCTGAGAGGATTGCATTATTCTGTTGCAGGTATTATTTACATGTAACACTTCTCTTGCTGTATTTGGCTCTGTTCCTCTGATATAGGCAATGTTAGACAAGACTTTCACCAACAGCACAGTGAGCGTTCAACTGCCGGGAGAGTTGAATGTTGGATGGAACAACACGATTGTGTTCTGCATGATTACCTCACCTGAAACTAATTGGGTCAGAGACTATACTTTTTTATGTAAAATGATATATATATATATAGCACATTTAAATTGAAAACTTAAACTAAAAGACCACTCTTGGTTTTGCATGTTTTAGACCAATTAGACCATTTTTTGTTTTAATGAAACAATTTTATTCACTAGCTTGATTAGAGAGATAGGCCTAGTCTCTGAGCCTTTGACCTCCCATTCAAAATGTTCTAGAAATGCTCCTGAGTCTGACCACTAGAACATAGCTTAGCACTGTACAATTAAAGTAATCAGATTATTTATTTATTTTAAGTGAAAACCAAGGAACTAAAATGGTCATAGTGCTTTTCACAGCTATTCGACCTGCAGTTTTTCCCCATGGCTGGGGGCGTTGGGTGAAATTCTGATAATTGGGTTGAACAGGTGTTTGTTAGAAAGATACCTGGTCTCATGATACATGGTCTCACTAATCAAGCTAGTGTTTAAATGTTATCACAAAAACACAACAAATTTATTTATTATTATTTTATTATGATATTTTAAAATATTTATTCAATTATTTCCTGAATATTTGGCAGCCATTGGTTTCTATTCATTTCAACGTTACTGTTAATATCAACTTGCAGAGACTCGTTTACTGTGTTGTGTATTTGTGTTTTGGTTTTGGAGTTTAGTATTTAGTAGCAGTTTTGCCATTACATTTTAATGGGCCCTATCTTGCACCTCTTAGATGGTCAGGCAAATTGTTGGCGCATCGCTATCTTGAGGCAGCAGAGAGCCACTGCACCACGGACCAATAAAAAAACAGTCTAAAGTCAACAACGGCGCATTGCTCCGATAAAAAAATAAAAAAAAATTCTATGCGCATTTACGCACGAGGCACAGCAGCGTAACTTAATTGATTACTAAAATCTCCTGACATGCTGACAGGATCGGTCAGGATCTAATGCTACTTCATGTTCTGTGTTATTCTACACAATCAAAGGGTCTCACACACAGTCCAGGTTCATACATTGAAGCTGCCTGGAGTAAAGCAGTCGTCCTACTGATCAATCATGAGCTCAATCAGAGTTTCTAAATTATTTCAGAATCTAAAAGTTGAATTCTCTGTCCTCTAGAGTTTTCCTCTGTCTGTCCTGTCATGTTTATAAATAGTTTTTTGTTGTTGTTGTTTCGCTGCTCAAATACCCCACGATATTTGTTGGGACTTTATTGCGCACATGGAACCGTTTAAAATGACTGACAGCAGCCTCTCTAAATCAAAGAAAACATACATAAAATAACATAAAATAAAGAAACGGAAAAGGGGGGAGGGTTCATCATAGTTTATATTAACGCAGCGCAGTGAGGTTCCAGACGTTTCATAGGAAACAGTGTCTGTCTGGAGTTCTGACACTTCACTGATAAACCACAGAGCTGCAGAGCAACAGGGTTCGTGATCAGAGATGGTTTTTATATCACGTCCACATTTTTTGTCCATATCCCCTTCTCTGCCGCGAGTCTGTCATTCAATCAGTCAATTGATGGGTCTTTTTTTATAGTGGGCCATTCATCCGCAATTATAATGCGCAATGCGCAAAGATGCAAGCGCACCTGGCTTTAAAAGGGAATGGGAGATGACACTCTGGTGACACTCCGCCGTCGAACTAGCAAAATTGCAGTTGGACACGCCCCAAACGCAACTGCTTGTGTTACTTGTGTTAACCACAGGAGGACAGTGTCGAGAAGTTTTTTAGTGCCTCACTGTCTGTTCTGTATTTGGAAAAGTGAATAGACACCTGGCACTACTTTTTGTTAGTTAACACAATGGTCAGTATACCTGTCAGTACCTGAAGTGACAAGGCTGAGGAGTGATACCTGCATGATTGAACTGGCACCTGAACAGTAACGACGTTAAACAGTATCTCCTGGTTTAACTCATTTATAGCTGTTAATGTCAGTGAAACACTGTCAAAAAGTGAAGTTTGTTCAAATGTTCAGCAGTCACACATGCAGAACTCTTTCACAAAAGAGGAAGAGATTTCCATTTCTGACTAAATATAATACCTCAAATGCAGTTGGTGCAGCAAGACAGGTTTTTAGGAACAACAACTCTTCTCAATTAGAAGAGCTCTTCCCCATTGCTTTCTGGGGTAACATGCTTTATAAGTTTATAACAGTTCTTAAGAAGGACAGAAATGTAAATAACTGATAACATTAAACAGTGTAACAGGATCTCTGGGTGGCTTTCTTCTTTAAACACTGTAAAGTTACTTCAGGATAGTGATCACATTTTACACAATAACTGTCTTGGGTAAACTGTCAAACTAATTGATTGACTGTATGTTGTACTGTAGACCACATGGGGAGCCTCAGATCTGTATGAGGGCAGACTGGTTGGACTGAGTGTGCGCGGCAAGAACATTACAGGACTACAGGAGCGCGTCAACATCACCATGACTCTTACTATGGGCATAAATGTAACTACATCTTTATTCCACAAATCATTTACCACTACTTTAAACTTGTATTATTTACCCGACAAAACTCAGGTAAAATCATAATACATATCATATAAACCTAATTTAATCCTGCTACATTGTTGTGTGGCAGGAGACCCAAAAACCCACTTGTGAGTTCTTCAATTTTACAACAAGTGGTGAGTAACTAGTCATCACATCTGTCACTATGTCTTTAAGATGATTAGTTGGGTTCAACAGTGAGTTGATGTAATTAAAAATCGACACAATAATTAGTGTAATGGATCTGTCTGTCTGTACGTCTGTTTGTTTGACTTACCAGACTTCAGCAGTAATGGCTGTCTTACCCTTTGGGAACGTGATGAAAGTCAAATCACCTGCTCCTGTGACCACCTCACATACTTTGGTGTGCTCCTGGTAAATGTATATTGAATTATAGAGAGACAATAACAACAAGAAAGTGATCAGTTTATTGAGAATATTCAGTAGAAGAGTTTCTGAAATGGTTGTGTGCTGCTTTGTTTAATATGTTAGCATCCATAAAGAAATAATAGGAAATGTTTATCGTAAAATACAGTACAATTATTATCAGCACTGAAGCTGTGAAGAGTGGAGCTAAATTTTAAACTACATTATATGAATTTGGTAACTTTAATTAACTATGCACCCTAATTGTTCATACGTGTATATTTTGTAAATCCTAATCTGCTTCAACAGTAATTATACAGTATTTAGTGTAGCAAATAAATACAATGAGGTAAAACCACAGCATTTCCTGTAAAATGTAATCTTTGTACCTTCTCCACAGGTAGATGCTATCCTCCCTCCTACTGACCTGAAGATTCTGACACTCATCACTCAGATTGGCTGTAGTCTTTCTCTTTTTGCCCTGGTCATCACTGTTCTGCTCTTCATCTCGAACAGGTAATTTATTCATTTACACGCTCCGGTATGCAGTACCGGCACCTCAACATTTTACTCTTTGGTGTACCGGGACATTATCTTGCATTTTTTAAAGTTTTTGTTAAAAAAGTTCTGAAAAACAGCCACAAGAAATGGTAAATAACAAATGAAACAATGCACAATAAGAAAACATGCAATGCAATTGAAATATAGAAGAAACAAATGTGCATTGTCCAAAAACTGATTAAAGCCGATTACTGCAGTACCGGCACCTATTGTTTTCCACTTCAAGCACTGCTGGTGACATACGTACTAGGAACCCTCACCACAGATCAGTTCTCCTCTGTCTGACAGAAAGATCAGAGCAGATGTCTCTATGAGGGTCCACATCAACCTCACCATTGCCCTGATTCTCCTCAACCTGCACTTCCTCCCAAGTCAGTCGGTGGCAGCACAGTCCTCCTCTGGGCTTTGCATTTACATGGCCCTTGCTCTTCACTATTCCCTGCTGGCCACTTTCAGCTGGATGGGCCTGGAAGGGTTCCACATCTACCTTCTCCTTGTCAGAGTCTTCAACATCTATGTCAGGAGATACTTGCTCAAACTCAGCTTGGTGGGATGGGGTGAGTAGAGTCGCCATGGCCATGGAACTACAAGTTGCTAGCATCAGTCATCAAACTTTGGAGTAATTGAACCCTTTAAGTTAAAGGTTCAGATATTTGATAAATCCTTGTGTTCCAGGTATCCCTGCAGTCATCGTGTCCCTGGTGGTGATCATAGACAGAGGCACATATGGACGTGTCTTTCTGGACTTGTCTAACTCCAACAGCAATGCAATGTAAGGATGAAGCAGGAACACATCTGTAATCTAGACTAATAATTAACTTAGTGCTTTTGCATGTGCATTAGAGTTTCTGTGTATTTGAAAGTTTTTGGAAGTGGTACACAAACCCCACTCACAGTAATGACAGTTATCATAAATGATAAGAAGGAATATCTGGGATGTTCTGATATATTCGATTTTATAAGTTTTCATCTATTTCTGTTTTATAAGTTGATACACTGAATATCTTCCAGCTCTCGCAATACTTTTACTGTCTAAAGCTGAATTCCCATTTTGATAACCAAACTCATATTTGATTTTACAGAGAATGAGATTAAATCCTGATCTATACCACCTCTCTTTTTAGATGCTATATAGTCAATAACACAGTGAAGATGGTGACTACAGTGGGAGTGTTCTGCTTGGTGTTCGCCTTTAACATAATCATGTTAGGGGTGACAGTCCGACGTGTGGTGAGCTTCCGCCAGCGCAAAGAGGTTCGGATCCATGTGCACTCTCTGTATTCTACTCTTTTTTGTTTTTAAGTCTGGTGATATTCAACTGTATATACATATATAAAAATCCAACTCTATGTGTATGTGTATATATGTGTATATATATGTATATATATACACACACAGTGAATATATGTGTGTGTGTCTGTGACCTACAACATGCTGTGACAAAAACTACAGTGGCCAGCTGTTTTAGAAATTTTCTTATTGTAAAGTTTAACTACATATCTGCAGCCCATTTGCCAATATTTGCGTCTTCCGTAGAAACAAATGGGCTTGAGTGCCACAGACATGGTAGGGAAGTGGGAAAGTATCGATAGACTGGCCGACTAACACGTTGTTTGTTTTGGTCCTTTCATTGGATTTGTTGACAATTAAATAATTGTATATTTACACTTGTATTTTTTTATCTTCGTCTGATATTTAAATGACTCCTGTCTGGTAAATGCGTTTAATATTTAGTCATTCAAATCATAGCTGTGTCCTTTAAATGTAGAGTTTGGAGAGTAAGTAAAGTCTTATAGAAGGCACTAGAAATGATGACAACATATTGTGTAAGACTCCTGAGAGAACCATTTTAAACAAATTGAAGAAGATAAATCTACTGCAACTCAGGAGCTGTTTTCAAGACTACAGTGTTGTCCTCAAAAGCAGTTTTGGAGTTTGCTGACTACCTACATTTCATTATTTCTAACTGTTGTGATTGTCTATGACCTGCTACTGTGTCGTTTTACATCTTTTGCAAGTCAGTTTGGGCAGAGTGACAGTGACAGAGCCAAGCGGGACATCTGTACCCTGCTGGGAGTCACCATTCTGCTTGGCATTACCTGGGGCCTGGTCTTCTTCTCATTTGGCTACCTGACCATTCCTGGCCTCTACGTCTTCTGCATCCTGAACTCACTGCAAGGTCTGCACAACCTCCACATGTTCAGCTCTATCCTGCAGTGATGTTACTGTAAATATGACGGGAAGGGTTGTGTATTTTTATATAGATATAAATACACTCACCAGACACTTTATTACATACACCTGTTCAATTGCTTGCTAACAAATAGCTAATCAGCCAATCACAGGGCAGCAACTCAAAGCATTTAGACATGTAGACGTGGTCAAGACAACTTGCTGAAGTTCAAACAGAGAATCAGAATGGGGTAGAAAGAGGATTTAAGCGACTTTGAACGTGGCTGGTCTGAGTATTTCAGAAACTGGTGATCTACGCACAACCACCTCTGGGCTTTACAGAGAATGGTCCGAAAAAGAGAAAATATCCAGTGAGCAGCAGTTGTGTGGACGAAAATGCCTTGTTGATGTCAGAGGTCAGAGGAGAATGGGCCGACTGGTTCGAGATGACAGAAAGGCAACAGTAACTCAAATAACCAATCGTTATAACTAAGGTATGCATAATACCATCTCTGAACGCACAACACGGCGTAAAAAACATGAAAGCATGGATCCATCCTGCCTTGTATCAACAGTTCAGGCTGGTGGTGGTGTAATGGTGTGGGGGATATTTTCGTTGCAGACTTTGGGCCCCTTAGTTCCAACTGAGCATCGTTTAAACACAACAGCCTACCTGAGTGTTGCTGACCATGTCCATCCCTTCATGACCACAGTGTACCATCTTCTGATGGCCACTTCCAGCCAAGATAATGCACCATGTCACAAAGGTCAAATCATCTCAATCTGGTTTCTTGAACATAACAATGAGTTATGAGTGAGCACAGATCCCACTAGAGGACTTCGGGCCCCCGTGCCACCTTCATGGAGTCTGTTTCTAGTTTGGACAGAAACATGCACACCAGTAGCACCAGTGGAGGTAAATTTATAGGACTCTGGCAGTGCTCCTCCTGTGCCTCCTTGCACAAAGAAGCAGATACTGGTCCTGCAACTGGGTTGATGCCACTTTATGGAACTGTCCTGTCTTTGTTGTGTAACGGCCAGTGTCCTGGTATCTCCTCCATGCTCTTGAGACTGTGCTGGGAGACAAAGCAAACCTTGCGACACCATGTAAGGACTACCTCACAGTACTAATAGTGACAAAGAGACCAGCAAAACACAAAACTAGAGAACAACCAGTCAGGAAGACTGAGGAGACAGCCATTGTCTGTAGCCACTACCTGCAAAACCATTCTCTTTTGGGGGGTGATCTTGCTGTTTCCTTTCCAGTGCAGCTGTTGTCACTTTTATGTGCACCAAATCACTTGCTTATGCTCTTTATTGGACCTATTGATATCTGTGAACATTCACTGACATGATGTTTTACTGTGATGATTAAGTGTTCCCTTATTTTTTTGAGCAATGGATAGGCCTATATACTGTATATAAATGAATGGGGAACTTCACAGGCTTTGGTTGCATATTTCAGCTGTGGCCATTGCAAAGTTAATTGTCTTGGTTTAACACTTGATGTGGAGAAATGTATCAGGGTACGGTCAGGATGGTGCACAATGGTGTGTGACTATTAAAAGCAGTAACAAACTATGAGACTTCCATCATCCAGAATAAATGGTGCATAATACATACTTTTTTGTTCAGTGTTGGCCTAACATATCATTTATCAGTGGCATTTGCATGATTAACATGATCCCAGTTGTCTGTACTCTCTCTAACACTCTTCCTGTGTCTTTCTCTGCTTTGACTCAGGTTTCTTCATCTTCCTGTGGTTTTTGATGTCTTTGAAAAAGACTGGAAACTCTGCTAAGACGAGCAGTGAAACACCTAGCACCAACAACTAAACCTAAACCCGACATACGAAGACATATTTCTTTTGTGTCTGTGTATATTGGGAGGATTCATTATTTCATAATCATTATTTTGATGTTTTTGTATAACACTATTATTTCTGCTTTACATTATGTTGTTTTCATGTGCAACAATATCGCTTAGAAGCAAATATGCTTGCTAGCGCTAACTACTGTAGGTAACATTTATGTTAAATGTGAAATATTTTAACAACTCACAGTTTTAGTGCTATTTCTAAAGTTTTCCCAATCCCAATGCCCTGGTGTTTATTTTAGTCCTTTCATTGGATTTGTTGACAATAAAATAATCTAGATCATCACTGGTTGTATTCTTTATCTTTAAATGATATTTAAAGGATTTTTGTCTGGTAAATGTGTTTAATATTCAAGTTAAAGTATTCATTCAAGTCATAGTTGCATCATTCACACGTAGGGTTTGTAAGTGGATGTCTTATATAAAGCACTCAAAATGGTGATGACACATTGTGTAAGACTCCAGAGAGCACAATTTAAAATTGATTGAAGAAGATCAATCAAGGTTTTTGGTGTTCGCTGACAACTTACATTTCATGATCTCTAACTGGTGTGTTTCTGATTGTCTATGACCTGCTACTGTGTCGTTTTACATCTTTTGCAAGTCAGTTTGGGCAGAGTGACAGTGACAGAGCCAAGCGGGACATCTGTACCCTGCTGGGAGTCACCATTCTGCTTGGCATTACCTGGGGCCTGGTCGTCAGCTCTATCCCGAATCCTGTAGTGATGTTACTGTAAATATGATAGGAAGTGTTGTATGAGTCAAATATATTGTATATATCTATCAGTATATAAATGACTGGGGTACTTCATGGGCATTGGTTGCATATTTGTGTTCGTTGCAAAGTTTATTGTTGATTGGTTTGACATGAATGAGGAGAAATGTATTAGGGTGTGTTCAGGATGGGGAAAAATACTGTTTATTCCTTCTCTTACTTGGATAAGAACAGGAACTGTAATGCTTTGTCCATGCCAGACCACACAGGCCACCTTGGGAATCCCCCACATTTTTAACCATGACACATGTTGAGAATTTGTATTCCTGTTGCAAACTAACATGAGTACTCAAATGTGAAATGGTGAATAAGAATTCCATTGTCCACCATAAATGGTGCCTGATATTAAAATACAAACTTTTATGTTCAGTGTATACTGGCCGTACTATTTGTATACTGATAAACAGTGACCTGCCACAGTTAGATTATTTATCAGTGACATTTGCATGGTTAGCATGATTCCCGTTTTCTGTACTCCAACACACTTCTTATCTCTTTTTCTCCTTTGACACACATTTCTTTATCTTCCTGTGGTTTGTGATGTCTTTGAGAAAGATTGGAAATTCTGCTAAGACGAGTAGAGAAACACAGAGCACCAACAACTAAATCTAAACCGACACACCAAGACATATTTCTTGCGTCTGTGTGCATCTGTGTGTAGTGGGAAGATTTATTATTTAATTTACCATTATTACTGCTGGTTTAGATTATGATGTTTTCATGTACAACAATGTAGCAGAAAAGCAAATATGTGAGCTAATTAGCTAGTTAATAATGTAGCTGACATTAATATTAAATGTGAAATATTAACAACTCACAGTTTTAGTTCTATTTCTAGTTTGATTGTTGATCTCATGCCCTAGTCTGCTTATAAAAACTCTTCATCCATCCACTATACAAATTTTTCTACCTCACCCATCCTGTGCACACCTGTGCAAACACTGTTTTAATGTAGTGCAGTTTTTTAACCTTACTAAATCTAGTTTTTGACCAACTACTTCTCTAAAGGCTGACATGTCAACATACCTAATATAAAGAATGGCAGCTGGAAACTTTACAGTCTTCAGTGGTTTCCCAAACCATGAGGTTATTGTACACGATATCACATTTCTGTTGACAGACCTGGTTTACTGGAACATAGGAGTTTAGACTGTGACATCAGTTCTCCACATGTAAAGATGAAATAGACTCACCGATTTGCATAAAACAAACTCCTACCAGCAGATTGAACACAAGCACCTTTGTATTTTACTTTAAGCTCCAAATCATGAACTAACTCAACCAGCACGGCTCACGAGGCAGATTCATCCTCCTCACGTCCGAGGTAAGAGAACTACACTATGTCCACTTAGTATTCATGTGTTCTTTGAGTATTACACTTTGACTGTACTGTGTAATTATTTAAGTCTAAAGATCACATACAGCAATTTTTAGGAACTGGATCTAACCAGAAAAGTGGAGTTTAAAATTAATTTTATAGCTATAGATTTGGAAGAAATCTTGGTGTTGGATTTCAAATTTCCCTTTAAGGTGAGCAGGCTGTGTGAAATATTTTCCTCTGTTTGGACAATGCTCTAATTCTGACTTGAGTTTTAAATTTGTCAGGAAATTTGACCCCATATTTGTCTTGTTATTTGGGAGTGGACTAAGAGGAATAAGTCGAGAGAGAGAAAGATGGGAAAAGAAAAACTTAAGTTGTTGTGTTGTACTGATTTTTTTTTTTTTTCAGAAGAAAATCACGAGCAATTCTTGATAAACTCGTGACCTGTTATACCAGAAAACAGGAGAGTAAGTTCATATTTCATTTCCTATTACTTGTTTAGAAAAAGAAAAGGCATTTTGTTTTTATTATTGTCCATTGTTTTTTTGTCTGACTTTATAAAGGAATGTAAATGGTCTTACAGCTGAGATACACTGAACACATCTGCACTAAAATGTAACTCACTATTTTTTCCATCAGTCACATATTCAGAGGAAGACAATGGTTCCCTTACTGCTGTCACTGCTGCTGCCCGAATTGCTGGCTAACCAAGGTACGAATGTCAGTTTTAATAGGTTTTTCTTTCTTTTCTAATAAGTGGAAATAGATTATTTATTGATTTATTTATTTATAGCTATTTTTGCTATATAATTTTACTTCTCATAAACTTAATGGAACAATGTGCCTGAAAATGTAACTTTTATCTAAACAGGCAGCAGTAAAATAGCACGCAGTGGGTTATCTATCTGAATATAACAGAAATGGCCAAGAGACGGTTCTGTGCAGTTCAAAAAGGGAAAAAAAAATAGTAACAGTGCTGCATACTCCAAGTACAAATATTGCAATGACAACCGTCTGGGAGAGAAGTATCACATTCTTAGAACTGTAGTATAGTAGTAGTATAATGAATTATAAGAAAAAGTACTTGCCGAAGTATAACTTAAACCACCCATCTGTGTTTCCATTAGTTTTGTCTCATAAGCCAAAGGTTTATTGGTGCTCTCTTGAAGAATGTTCTCCCTTTATTAATGTAATTTATCTTGCTGTTGTTTGTACTACCTACCACTAAATCATGATTTTGAGTTCAACATGGTTTCCTGCTTGGAATTCAGATTTTTTCATAACAAAGGCCAACAAGTAATTTTTCACGTCATTAGGACAGAAGATCTGTGAAATACAGTGATTTGTATTTGTTTCTTGCTTCTTGCTCATCTTCTGTTTCTGTGTTCAGTTTGCCTCCAGATTTCAGACGGTGACATTCGTATTAATATGACCGGTGTTAAAATTGTTGAAGTTACGGAGTCTGATACTGTGACATGTGTTGTGGAGGGAGCTCCCTGTGTCTTTCTATGCACGTACAGTACCACGGTGTGGCTCAGTGGATCATATGGTTGCGTAGAGGCTGATGTGACACAATGTGCTGCCAAGGTTGAGTACAGCATGAAACCATGTAAGTGTACTGTTCTCAACTTCTGTCTCAAGTAGACCACTGACTCTCTGCATATATGTCTCTAAAACCAGTCAGTGCAGTCACCTAGAGCAGTCGTCCCCAACCTTTTGGTCACAGTCCTGTCAAGTGAACTGACTTTATCGATTCCCAACTCGATATTGTTACAATCATTTATTTATACTTTTTAACTGTTAAATCCTTTTAGTTAACTATTTGAAATATTTATCCATTACTCATAGCTAATCATTTTAAGTGTTCATTCATTACTATTAGCTATTTATTAAGCTGCTTGAAGCTGAGCTGAAGAGGGTGCAGCCGTTTGCAGAAAATGTGGCTTTTGGTCCTGATATAGCACATCCTAAACTCTAGCCATTTATTTCAACCATTTATCCATTACTTTTAGCCACGTGTTTAGACTTCAATGCTCACTTGCTAATTTGTGTTAAAGGAGACATATTAAGCTTTTCCACATTTTATGACTTGTCTACAATGTTACAGTGTTGGATCTTTATGTTAAACATGGCCAAAGCTTCAAATAATGAGGTTAAAGTATTTAAAAGAAATCCCTGTGAGCCAAAACTTCAGATTTCCTCCTGTTCTATACGCTCCGTTTTCAACTGCTACCAATGGCTCCATTTGACGACACATGGAGCTAGACGGAGCTGGTGTGGTGTTCCATACATGGTCATTTTCTCCGCACAGCCATGGCACAGCAACACTCAGTCTGCCTGTACCGCTCAACGACAATAGCCTGGTAACATGCTTCAGGTCTTGGCCAATCAGAAGTCAGTGGGCTTTGACAGTGGGGCCCTTTAAGAGACAGGAGCATCTACAGTTTGTTTCAGATAGAGGCTGAAATGACGCCCTACATGAAGAACCAGTATAAATATAAAATATTTATTTGAACTTTGAATCATGCAAAGCTGCCATACAGAGTCACAGAGCTACAATATAGGACTGGAAAAGCAGTATAATAGGTCTCCTTTAATGCATAATTGCAACAGGTAACACAGTGTTTAGATGTTACATCTACCTTATATAAATTTAATCAAGTCATAATTTCTGAATTTTCTACTTTGCAATCTTTCCACTTGCCGCCTGGAAACTGTACATGTAGCCTACCCCTGGGTGGGAATCACTGGCCTGTGTGGCTGAGTCATATCCTCAAACACTCTATTGTATGTCTGCATCTTAAGTGTGATTCCCCTCTCACTTCTCAGATACAACTTGCATTCTATACCTATGTAACGACACAGTCATCTTGCCACTGATTCTTTCACTGGGAAGTGGCAGCTCATATACGAAGGAAATGATACAACTCTTCCACATAAAGGATTCATGTCCAGAGCTCTTCAGTAGTAACACTGAAGTCAAGAAGGCCTTTATGAAGTAAGTGTCAGACCTGCTACAGGTACTGCTCTGTCTGCTGCTCTGTCTCTGATTGTTTTCTGTTACACCATTTTTAACCATGCAAGTGGCATGACTCTGGAGATGTCGGTGTCGGCCTGTTGGGAGTCAACCACTTTGGTCCACATCGAAATATTTCAACAACTATTGGATGGATTGGCACAAGGAGACATTCATGGTTCTCAGAGTATGAATGGAGTATGATGTAGTCCTCCAAAGCAGACACAAAAATAACACATTTAGCAGTGTCAGTAGTATTAGAGGACTACATCTAGATAAAATATTTATATGTAAAGCACAAATCACAAAATTTGGAGGAGGGGGGGGAACCAAGCGGGAAGCTTCCGGTCAGCAATCAGATTCGAACGTGGAACTCCCTGAAACCTGCATTCTATTGAACAGCCAGCAGGGGGCGACTCTTCTGGTGGCAAGAAGTAGTCCGGCTCCATTAGAAATAACAGTAAAACCATGTCTGGTGCCGCTGGTTGCAAAAACTCAACATGGTGGCGCCCTATCGGCCAAACTCGAGACTGCAGTCCACAAACCAGCGGGTGACGTCACGATGACTACGCCCATTTCTTATATACAGTGTAGAACTCCAGTAAGGCTGGCAGGGCTATGTTATTCACTTGGAACATCAGATGAACTGATTTTTTTCTCTTTAATACAGATGATGCTGAGTCATTAATAAAGTAATCATGACAAAAAAAAATTATAACCGATTGTTTGGTAGCTTTCTCAAAGCTTGGTAAAATACTATGTGGAGGATGCAAGATAATTAGGATAATATAATTGCGTGGTTAATCTATGAACCTAAGTCATATTTAAACAACTATTGCTTTGTGTTGTTGGCAAGATAAAAAAGACAGAGAAAAGAGTATGTACAAAAAGTCATGGCAATTTGGTAAAACAGCAACTCTATGTTACAATAATAATAGTGTACACATATCCTACACAAGTACAATTTTTGCAGTATAACTTGTGTCCCCTTCAAAAATGTAGCCCATTTAATGGATTGGAACATGGTCAAAGACGGCAGACCTTGAAAAAAATTCTCGGCCAGGGGCAAGTTAGATGCTAAAAAAAAAATGTTTTTCTAAAACAAAGGAATAATGTGAGAGACAGCCAAGGCATAACAATCATGGAGATATTTGTTGTGAGAATATAATTGCCTGTAGGTGAGGTAATGGTGGGTGCAACAGAGGATGAATCTGGACATTAAAACCTTCCGGCATAGCTCAAAATGAGAAAAATATGGCAATAAATATAATTAATTCTAAATAGCTAACTATACTAATTTGTCTTTCTGCAGTGTGGAAAGACAGATAATTCACAGCATTATGAGAAGAACCTCGTTCAAGACTGAAAGCTCCAAACACTACAGCCTGAGGGCCTTGTCGCTTAATGTGGTCAACATCAGTGAGGCTGACCTGACAGGAAACCACAGCAGGTTCCAGATACAAGTACCCCAGGTACATAGGCTGGGATGAAGATGGTGCTGATGAATTTAGAAGGAACAGCGATGATTGAGCTAATGTGATACTGAATATGATGATGTCTTTGTTACGACTTGACTTTTGTCAAGTCAGTCAATTTTGTTTTGAGTGCAAACCACTAACTGCCCAAGCCTTGCTCTTGTTCTTCGTATCCACTGTTAGCTGCTGCCTCAGAACAGTTCATTTGTTCCTGAGACTTGGCTGCCTGTGTATGCCCTGCACACCATCCCAAAGGAGAAGAGGATTATTGGTTTGGTCAACTACATGCAGCACAGCCACTTCCAAGTATGACCTATGACCCTATTTCTACTCTTGCTCCGTCCCTCAAATCCACATATCTGGAAAAATGTAGTCATGGTTATGAATGTTTTCATTATGGGTTTGCCATATATACAATATATACTGTACATGCACTACTATGTTATAGTGCTTTTCCTTTCATGATTGCACTGAAACTGTCTCCTCATCAGTTTGAACAGGAAGCTATCTCATCAGTGGTTATTAGGATAGAGCTACTGGAGGAACACCACCAACACCTTCACAATCTGGCAACGTCAATCAAGATGATTTTCAGAACTGATACACACAGATATTTGGATGTAAGTCTGTTTGTTAAAAAGACGCTTTAATATTATAAGAACATCAATCACCTGCAGGTCTAAGAGTAGAGAGGTCTGCACACTATTCAAATATATAAATAAGATTGATTTGACTTAATTTGACTGGATTTTGATGATGGCACATGGCAGGCACTAAATGCGTTTTTGAAATTTGGACATTGTTTTAATGCTGGTTCCTTTGGTATTTAAGTAACTTGGTTTAAGCTAAGTTTTGGTTTGAATGGGAACTGAGGTAATTTCTGTCCTGCAGCCAAGCAGCCCTGCTTTGACCGTTGTGTGTAATTCCTCACTCAGTTGTAAGAAAATCATGGTACTGAACACTTTCACTTTTAAAGGGAATGAAAAGAATTGATTTCACTAGATTTTATCGCAGTATTGTGCCACTGTTTGTTTGTTTTTTTGACTAGGCAGCTTGTCCCATTGTTAACTTCAATGTAGCTCAATATGTTTGTATTTTTACAGAATGACTCATGGTTACAGTGCCACTACTTTGATGAACGAGGTAGGTGTATATGAGTTTTTGCTTACGGCAGGAGAAACGGGCTGACTGACTATGTGATAGTCCATCTTTGTCTAAAAATTAACCATGTTTAAAATCCATTTTCAGAGTCGTGACTCTTGTGTATCAGTGTTTGTCAGTCATGAATGATCTATATAAACTTAGATTCATTTTACAGCCAAAGGGCCTTCAACAATTTAGCATCACAGATCGTGCATCTGCATGTGAAGTAACACATATGTCACAGATTCACTTTTATTATGCAGAGAGAACATATTGATTGTATGCAATGAAGAGAGGTTTTTTTGAAAATGTGAAAGTGAAATAAGGTGGCATGTTCTGCCCATTTATATACTGTAATTTTTTTTATGCCTTTTAAGTTGATTTTGCTATTTGGACAACCAGCAGAATTAAACGTGATTAAGTTAACTAAGCTGTAATGTTTCCAGACTACCTCTGGAAAACAGATGGATGTGAGACTCACTTTAACAGAACCCAAGCTGACGTCATTTGCGACTGTAACCATGCAACACCCTTCGCTGTCCTACTGGTAAGAAGACCCACTTGATTTGACTTGACCAATAACTCAAGCATTTATTCATTCAGCACCTTTCATAGAGGAAATAAAATATACATATACAGATGATAGTCATATTTCATCATCGGTATTCATGACTGGTAGAGTACTGGTGTTAACCCAGTATGAGAAATCCGTCTCTGACTTGTTCCTAGATGTTAAAAAGTTAACCTGTAAACTGCAAATAGCTACCACTGTTCCTTATCTTTTCTTCAGATGAGAGAACCAATTTCAGAAGTCCACTGGAAAATACTGTCGTACATCAGTTACCTAGGCTGCGGCCTGTCCGCCTTCTTCACTGCTTTGTCCCTTGTGATATATGTCTTCAGTCGGTAGGTGACAACAAACTCACTGAAGCACACTGGGTAGGGGTGCGACGAGACCCTTAACCCACGAGACGAGATTCAAGATTGAGTTCACAAGATTGAGACAAGATTTTAACACTATTTTTAAGAATTCTTTAAAGCTGAATTATATGAATTTTTTTTTGTATTAATCACTTTATTTCCTGCATTCTGATGATTTGTTTCTGCACCAGTTTATGGTGATTTTTCTTTAAATTTATGTAAAGAGAAACATAATTCAGGAGGGCAGGTGACAATTCAAAATCTACAGCCCAACAATAACAAAACATAAGTCAGTGCAGCTCTCAGTCATTCTGTGTTGCTTTCGGGTTTCTCCTGTAGATCAAAGTTCCTTATGTAACATCCAGCCTGCTGAGTCATGATTTAGTCTTCCCTCCTCTTCTGTGTCTTGGTTTGGGGAAGTAACCTCTTTCAATGTGGCACCTATTCACCTCAATGAGAAATTATTAAATTTTTATTCAGTTAGAAATTCCTGGCCTTTAATAGCACCTGTGTTTCAGATTTTCTGCTCATGTTCAAAACTTTCTGCACATTCAGAATCTCTCCCACATCTCTGTGTTCTCTGACATGTCTAGAAAAAAAGTCATAATATTAAAAGAATAACGCCATCATTTGATAAGAAGTCTACCTGCCCTTTACTCTGCTGTGCATTATCGGCTGGTAGTAACGTTATCCCCTTCAGACCATTTGACCGACGCAGTTTGAGACTGCATGTTGCACGTGAAACAGAAAGTAACTGTAACGCTTTTGATCAGGTGGAAATCTCACCACAAATCCGCACACGTTAACTTCAGCAGCTCTGATAAAGTGCAGAGCGGTGTGGTTGATTCATAGATGGTATATTATTGGACGAAGCCACTCCGCTGATTTGAATGTTGAGCAGTGAACCAGCAACCCAGTTATGGACCAATAAAATACTACTACAGGGCTACTTCCTGTTGGCACCAGCAGTTTCATGTCTCAATGTGTTTGTCTGACTCGGATTGTCACTGATTAATCTTCCCACCTACGAAGCACCAACGCAGCGTCACTGATGGCTGAATAATTTTTTTTAGATTGCTGAGAGCTTATAATCTAAGCAATATGGTTACATCTCTCATGTGCAACGGGGTGTCACAGGGTTTTGACGTCATTTTTGGGCCTACATGGATCCCTCCATGCAGGCTTTGGTCGGCATCACTGCCCGATCTCTAGCTTACGCCTTTGGGTTGATTACTATCTTATCAGTTATACATTTGCATTTCACTGCATGAGAAAATTAATGTGTGGCTTGATTTACAGCATGGGAAAAATGTCAATTGCGTGAGTCTCGCAAGACAGTTTTTTACCTGACGAGATATCGCGTCACAATTTAATCTTGTGCCACTAGATCTCGTCACACCCCTAATACTGGGCTACTACAGCTGGAAACTCTCTGTGTGGTCTAAACACACAGAGGCAGCTACAGGAGGCCCTGAAAATGTCTTTTCTCAGTTGGCTTCTTACACTGCACTGCACTGTACTACGCAGTTTAGATTATCTCACTTGTGAGATTCTGGGCTGTTTTAGTACAAGATACAAGCTAAAATAGAATAAAACAGTTGCATTTAAAGATGATTCAGCTTTCTTTGCATTTGTTTTTTTTCTAAGATCATGATGCTGCCGATACATATCAAGACACGCACAACCAAATGCTGTCTGATTATCAAGAAACATGTATCTTGCCTGTGTACCTGTCACTTTTTCTCCTTCTTTCCGTTCCTCAGAAACCACAGAATGGATTACTCCATCTCTATCCATGTGTCTCTGAGCGGTGCCTTGTTTCTGCTCAATACAACCTTCCTGTTGACTGAGTGGGGGGCCACGGTGAAGCCAGACTGGGTGTGTGTGTTAGTCGCAGCGCTCATGCATTACTCCTTGCTCTGCTGTTTCACCTGGATGGCCATAGAGGCACTTCACCTCTATCTGCTGCTGATAAAGGTCTTTAACACCCACTACAAACACTACCTGGTCAAACTGTCTGTTGCTGGATGGGGTGAGTGCTGCAAGAGTGCATACTTTATTTGTCACTTCCTGAGGTGGTGTATCAGTGAATCAGGGCTTCTTTTTTAGAATGGCACCAGTTTGGCACATGTTTCAGTTTTTCAGAAAGAGTAGTAGAGAAATTTATTTCAGTCAATGACAATGAGAAAGATACTAAACCAGGAGCAAGGTAGACGATGACTGGGACATCTGTATTGAATGTGAACAGATCTCTGACATTTCTGTGATGCTTTTCTTCTTATATGATTATTGAAAATTGGTGCAGGGTAATAAAATAAATGCTCTTCTGGTAATTGAATGAATTGAAGTTTTGTGCTTTTAAAACTCCATTATAGCATCAATAGAACTATCTTGATGTGACGCAATATTATGTGTGCCTGGAATATGAAAAGTCCTACAGGAGCAGGTTAACCCCTTATTAACATGATGTTAAACTCTGTCTTTATGTGTGATTCTCAGGGATACCTGGTGTTATCGTGGCAGTCTCTTTGGGAGTGAAGGACTTCAAACAGTTTTACGGAGTTGCAGAAATGACAATGGCTGATACAAACCAAACTAATGCCATGCAAGTGAAATCCTAACTACTTTTGGCAAGACAGCAGTATTTGTCCATTTTAATTTATACACTTTTTTACAGGATCATTGTGTGTGTATTTGTCTTACGGAATTTTTGCCATTTTCATACAGCTTTAGCATTTCTTCCAAGTTACTTATATTTACTTGTATGTATATTTGATTTGTATACAAGAGTATTCTGCATATAACATATCATACATAATGTATACGATAAGGACCTGATTTATATGAAATATGCTCTGTATCACATTCAAAACATGTTACATAAATATAATGTATTTGCATGAAAAAGGTCTTAAAATCATCGGTGCCATTTACACTGGGGATGCTGGGGACATGACCCCACCACTTTTTGAAATGGCTGATTTTGTCCCCATCTCTTTTTGAAAGCATTTGTTAAAAATGTAAAAAAAAAAAAAAAAAGAAAAAAAAAGAAGAAGTTTGCACCAAAGAATGAACTCATGAAATTGCTTTGAGAAGGTTTATTTACGCAATGAGAAAACCTGCAATGCAATTTAAATATAGAAGAAACAAATGTCCAAGAAATGTAACTTAAGCTTAAAAAAAGACAAGCTACTGATTACTGTTATGTTTTGTTATATTTTTATATTTATGAATTGTCACCTGCCAGCTGAATTTTTGGTATTCTTTATTTAAATAAAGGCATTTCCACCATAAATTGGAGCAGAAAATGTCTCCAGAATGCAGGTGTGTTTAATGCTCCAATTTTCTGGGGGAGGACCCCAGAGTCGCTCATATATTTCAGCATTTCATGTTACTTCAAAATAGTGTAAAAACTCTCCTCGTCTTGTTCTTGTGCATTGCCATGTCTCGTGACCCAAGTGTGTCATGACGCCCAGAATGTGAGCCCTTATGTCCCCACCACTTTTCAACACAAAGTGACACCCTTGCTTAAAATTACAATCTTGGTTATTGGCAGTAACATCAGTTTACAGTTATGAAAAACAGTAACATTCTCTGCTATGTTGATGTGAAACTATATTCTGACATTGGGTGTCCTGCCTGTCCCACAGCTGTTGGATCACAGATGACTCCTTCTTCTACTCCCTGAACCTGGTGTATTTCACCCTTATATTCATCTTCAACTCTGGCATATTGATGGCAGTGGCCTCTGGCATCTGTAAGATGAAACAAGCGCTCAGGAGCAGCTCAAAGTTTCGGGCAGAGACTGAGGGAAATACTTGGAGAGACCCCGAGAGGATCAGTGTTTCCTGCAGGAATAGCCTCACTGTGTTAGGTATTACCTGCCTGCTGGGAACCACCTGGGGACTGGCCTTCCTGGGCTCCGGATATGTCAACTACCCAATCCTTTACCTTTTCTGCATCCTCAACTCCACACAAGGTCTGCTGTCACTTCTGCATTGTGTTTGTCTCTACATTATTTTAACTTGTCAATATGAACAGGTGTTTCTATATCAAATGGGTTCAGATTCCCTTTTACCAGCATGGTTTTATAATGTATGTGTCTTTTTGTACAGGTTTCTTTATCTTCCTATGGATATGTCTGTCAGCCAAGAAGCAGAGGAAGAAAGAGATGGAGGAAAGAATGACTTCACTTCCTGTGAGGACTTCAGGAATGAAATGTGATTAGAACCTCTTTCCTGCCAGTGTAATTCACACTGGGGATGCTGGGGACATGTCCCCACCACTTTTTGAAATGGCTGATTTTGTCCCCACCGCTTTTTGAAAGCATTTGCTGAAAGTTTTCTGAAAATTAACTTGCAACAAGAATCATTAAATAACAAATAAAAATTCTTGAGAAAGCTTTACTTGCACACTATGAATGAATAAATAAAATGCAATGTAAAAAAGACACAGATCTGCTGTGTCCAAGAAAGTAACTTGGGCTAAAAAACCAGCTGATGATTAGGCTACTGCATTATATTCCATAATGTTTCTTATAAATACCATTGGAGTATCTTGTTGTCTTGTTCTTGTGACTCCAATATTGTGCATTATCACGTCTCGTGGACTAAGTGTTTCGCCACACCCCTAATATGAGCCCTTAAATGTCCCCACCACTTTTCAACAGAAAGTTGCGCCCTTGCCGCCGATAGAGTTTATTTAGCAGGCAGGCGAGAACAGGAACGGGTGAGCGTCACGTAACGGCAGCGCCCAGAGAACCTGATATGGAGAGGGCAGAGGAGAGTGCCGGCGGCTTGGAAGAAGTCCCTGAATGCAATGTCGAGGTGCCGGTAGTGCGTACCGGTGCGTTCTGGCCCACTTTAAGCACTGCATGATAGTAGCTGGTTGGAAATTCCCTTTACTGTCTTTTGACCTCTATTTAAAAATGTTCCACTGAGAGGTGGGTTAGCTCGGCCACAAGATTGCAATTCAAATTTTTAGGTTGCGGTTGTTTAAATATAAACATTGTTTTCTGTAACTTTTAACTTTCCTCACATGAACATAAGTATTTTTTCTTTAACTTTGAACCTATTCTTTAAAGTAAACCTGTTCCTTCACTAACCTTCTGTAGAAATATTGTAAGTGTATTTTTGAATAAAGTGTTGACATATCAGTATGGACAAATGGTCATGTGTTGCTATTTGCAAATGGCTTATTAGACCAATCCTTGAAATCATTTGCATAGCTTTGAATTATTCAGATGATATTAAAGTGAATTACATTTTCATTTCCCAGTGTGTGCTGCCAACTTTGGAAAACAGTATGTTGTGCATGAGTTTCGCTTCCAATTGTGTCAGTTGACTTGACCAGTATGACCTGACTATTTCTTTTTCTTGCGTATATCGGAAGACTGTAACATTTGGAAACTTCCTCTTTTCTCTAGGCTCTTTAGTCTAATGCAGGAGATTTAGTCGTAGTAAAATATTAAAATGATTTGTTTCTATGAACAACCGGGGTCACACTGTAAGTAGTGGAGAATTTTATGTAAATCCATAGTGACTTTACTCTCATGGGCAGGAAACTCTCAAGAGTTGAGTTGAATCATGATTACACACTTTAAAACACATCTGATATGAATCACTTCCTGTGCACCCGAGCTGTTCAACCCCCGCTCCACTCCACCTATGTAATATTTGTAGATGTGAAACTCCCTGCTCACATCATCAAGCAAACGTCAAACAGGCAGAACAACGCTGTGTCTGGAAATGTAACATCTTCGCTTTGAAGAACAGTGAAGCACGATGTGGATTACTCTTTATCTCCTCACACTCGTCTGGTTTTCTAAGATCCAAGCTGTCGGTGAGTTGTTCACATTTGTTTAATGTGTGTTTGTGGTTAGTGTTTTTATGGGGTGAATACCCTTTGAACTGTTGACATATGAAGGCCCTGGATCATCACATCAAGAGAAAAGTAAAGTCACTCATTTTCCTTTGCTACCCGACGTTAGTGATTCTTACCCAACCACTTGTGCAACACTAAGTCGTACACTACAACTGTACTATCTCTGACTATTTTGCCTTCTTTGTCACTCTGACAGACCTTTGTGAAAATGTCATCGCCGAGTGTCAAAAAGTTGATCTCTCCTGGACCAGGTAACTCAGACAGTGGATACTAAGCTGATACTGTAAATCTTCACTCCTCTTTTTGAAGACTAATACATCTTTCTCATCCACTAATAAATTAAGTGTGGTTGTTCCCTGCTGGCTAATAAATGATGTGATTGTCAGACTGAATCATAATAAGCGCATAAACACTGAGCAAATCATTGATTATGACAGGTTGTCAGCTCTTCAGGAACTTGTGACTCTGCATTTGCCTCTTTATACCGCAGTGGAAAGTGTGTACAACTTTCCCACCCTATAAATGACCATGTACAATAATCACTGAAGTAATGTCAAAGGCAGTGCTGTTGCGTATAACCCAAATACAACTCAGCTGTGTTGTTTGTTCTCCGAAAATCAATACTGATTAAAGTAGTTACAATGGTGGGCTATAATAGTGTAGTTATAATGTTGTATAACTCCTTGTTTGGATTAATGAAATATGTGAAATATGTTTTGTTAGATGCTATGAGGACAGAATTGCATCCTGTATACTAGGACGCCGTTTTCCTCAAAATTTCAGCCGTCAGATGGTGAACCTATCTCAAGAGGTGAGGTCATTTTTTGGGTAAATGGCTCCCAGCTTTTGTCTGCGCTAACAAAATAGCTATACAGGAGGAAAACTGTACATTATATGGCGCAATGGATAAGACTATGCCTTTGGTGTGAGAGACCTGGGTTCAATCCCACAATGTGACCCATCAACCATTGGGTCCCAGAGCAAGACACTTAACCCCTAGTTGCTCCAGAAGCCTGCGACCTCTGACATGTATAGCAATTGTAATTCGCTTTGGAAGTGTCAGCTAAATGAATAAATGTAATTGTTTATTATACTATAAATAATTGTTTAGTTTATTTATCATATTAAAAACATATTTTCCTTGGTGTGTGAAATAACATGGGTAAATATTTTTTGCATGTTTGTGCATGTGCTTATGGATTTTAGGTCACGGTAAGTCCCACTCTTCAACACAGGGTTCACATTCCATCCTCAGCCCTTCAAAGAAGCAGAGGAGCTGCATCTGTGGAGGAGGTACTTGTGGTGGCCACTGTGATCAACAGCACTTTGTTCAAGGTAGGTAGCTCCAAAGATAATTGCAACCACTTAAGTGAATTAATCCCTCCTTGAATGCCCATGTTAATTCACTACTAATCACAGACAAGTAGGTGAATTAAAGTATTTTTTATCTTTGGGAAATCTGCAAGTGTCTGCAATTCAAGAGGATGGATAAGGAAGATGACCTTAATATTTTTGAACACTGACACTGGCTTAAACTTTAAGTTGGCTCTCTCTGTATAATTAGGTGTAAAAGGTAACATGTTCCCCTCTTGCTGATTTGCAATGATTTCCATGAACTCTGAGTGCTCACAGTTAGCTGTTGTGCACTATGAAAATCAAGAAAAGGTTGATTCCGTAGCTAATGCCGTTGCAATTCTTTTACAAATTTTATGAAGCAGATTTACCTCGAATTATTCTCATCCCAGCATTATGTGTCCCCTCTGTCTATCATTGCAGCTGATTCCTCCTCTGCAAAAAGGAAGGGGGAGAGGGTTATTGCCAAATCAAGCTACCAGCAGGCAAGTTATGGACGGATTTGTCCTGGCAGTGAGGGCAGGGAGCGTTCCTGTAAAAAACCTTTCACAACCCATCATATTAACCTTCAGACGCAACGAACAGGTAAAACCATCTGTGCCAGCATCAAGCAAGCAGCTTGAAAAATGTAACGTGTAATCTGCTTCCCCCTAATTCTGAATACACTTTTGAATATGTTTCAGGTAATAAATGGGACCTGTGTGTTTTGGGAGGAGTCAGCGCTGGAGGATGGAACAGGTGGGCTACATATACCACCTACAGTATTTTTGCTCCTAAATAAAAAAAGATAAACTGCGATTTATCCATTAAATGTCTGTGTCCAGGTACTTGGAGCACAGACGGCTGTGTTACCACTGTCAACAGAAAAGAATTTATTTGCAGCTGCAACCACCTGAGCTTCTTTGCTGTGCTTGTGGTAAGATGGTAACATCTTTCTGACTGAGGCGTACGGGCAATTTAACTATATTTTATAAATTTGTTTTAAATTGTTACACCAGTGTTTTATTGAAAATGTGCTTAAAGTTGAATGGAAACACACTTTGAAGCATAGAATGTAGCTGTACTACAAATCTAATCTACTACAAATGTACAACAAATTCTAAATCAAGTAATAGAGTCTGCTGAAGAGGCTTCCATCAGACTTCTGAATTTGAAATAAAGTTGAAGTTTTATTGTTTTATTTTGTCTGTTCCAGAACCCTGCAATATCAGTGGATACAAGGAATGCTGTGAACCTAAGCTATATCACCTACATTGGATCAGCTCTGTCCGTCTTCTTCACAGTGATCAGCTTGATTATCTTTATATGTCTACAGTGAGTTTTCTGTTTGACGTAACATACTTTCCACCAGACCAAGTGTGTGTTATTATTGGATTTATTTTTGTCTTCTTCCTGCAGAAGTCAACATTTAATCACTTCTTGTTTGTTAATGTAAGCGACCACAGAAGAGCAACTCTGACTCACTCAACCCTTTTTAATCGCCATTCTCTCTGCAAGAGAGATTCCAAGCAGCTATACACTTTTTTCTAATGATGACATTGGACGACATGCGACACAAACTCTTAAGCATGCCCCTACCTTTAAGCTCTGAGGATGCAGCCCCTCATTGTCATGTAATACTGTATGCCAGAAAGCAGAATTACATCAAAGTCTTAAGCCACTGTTTCTCTTTCAGACGGCGGCGTCCAGAGAAGGCCATCAGTTTGCATATGCAGCTAACAGGCGCGCTGCTCTGCCTCCATCTCAGCTTCTTGCTGTGCAGCTTCTGGGTGTGGCAACTGAAGGAGGATGAGGAGGGCTGGGTTTGTCGGATTCTGGGTCTTTTTTTACACTGGTCCCTGCTGGCAACCTTCAGCTGGTCGGCTCTGGAAGGATTCCACCTCTACCTTCTCCTAGTCAGAGTCTTCAACATCTACGTTAGGAGATACCTGCTCAAACTAAGCTTGGTGGGATGGGGTGAGTGGAGTCTGAGAGGTGTATGAATTAGCTCTCTTTTCATGCATGCACACAAGGACAGGGGTCTCGTGATGAAGTGAGGAACACAAACAGGCCAAAGCAGGCCCCAGAGCCCAAACACCCTAGATTCATTGGTTGGTTTGTGGTCTTTGTGGGCAGATGCACTATTAAAGCACAACATCAAATGAAATCTTTAAAAGCTTTAAACTTGCAATGGATCTTCTG